CAGGATGAAGGTCACTTGTTGGTGTTCCACATGTGAAGTTCTTGTATTGGTTCTGTAGGAATCCATCAGATTTCTCTGTTCCTGAACACAGAACCCTTCAGTGGCTCTACAGAGTTCTGCTGGATCTCAAAGCCTTCATTTTCTGTTCTAATTTCATAATCAGCAGAAATGTTTCTCCAGTGATGCTTTAAGATGTTTCTGAATAGTTTCTGTGTGTTTTTCATGTTTACGAACCATCACATGGTGGTTTTCCAGGTCCCAGTCCCGGTCCCGGTCCTGGACCTGGTCCTGCCTAACCCAGCTTTTCTACTGAACGAGTACATGGTGTAACGTAGCAGACGCGTTTTTAACCTGCGAGCTCCTTCTCAGCAGGAGCGTTTCAGACTCAAACCGTACCGCGCAGCTGAACCCGTGAGCTCTCCACATCACAGGAGAATTGCAACGCCACGCTTGATGTATGAAACTCACACGATGACGAGCACAGAGAAAGACATCTGCGTAACGGTTGGTGGTTTATTTCCTGTTCTGTTCACCGCCGGCCGCTACGGAGGTTTCACAGGAAATGATGTGTGTTTAATAGTTAGGCAGTTGGAAATCTGCACGTGACTTTTATTTTGAAAGTTCCCGGATGTTTTACACTTCTTTCATGTTTGACTTCCTGTCTGGACTGATCCTGACTGCAGAACCTGATGGTTCTGGAAGAGTAGCAGGTTAAGGTTTGTCTTCTGGCTCCTCCTGTGGTTCCAGAGCAGGAAGCCTGGGAATCACCAGCAGATGCGGCAGAAGACCCAACCTGAGTCCTATTAAAGGGGGGTTCTGTAGGTCAACCCTGTAGTCCTGGTCCGGGGCTGCTGGGAGTTCTGGGTCCAGTTTCTATCAAGTCTTCTCAGAGCCTGGACCTGATGAAGTCTCCATGTGGAAACAAACGGAGCGAGAAGGAGATGTTTCCACTCAGATGGAGGGAAAAGGCAGTGATTCTGATGTTGACCGTGGTTGTCATTCGCCTGAGGCTACATCTGGATCTGAGACAGACGTGTCAGAACCTGGCCAGGTGCCACATCGGGTCAAGGTTCCGTCACATCTGGATGGGAAGGGTGTCCCTCATTAGGATCCGGATTCAGGAGTCTGATCAGCAGAACTCCTCTGAAATGCTGCAGATCTTGTAAACATGCTTGTTCCTCTGGTTCCTTCAGGAATACACCGTAGACGTCTTCTTCCGCCAGAGCTGGGAGGATGAGCGTCTGAAGTTCCACGGGCCGATGGACACCCTGCCTCTCAACAACCTGATGGCCAGTAAGATCTGGACTCCCGACACCTTCTTCCACAACGGGAAGAAGTCGGTGGCCCACAACATGACCATGCCCAACAAGCTTCTGAGGATCAACGAGGACGGGACGCTGCTCTACACCATGAGGTTGACCTGTTTGGTTTTTATTCAGCAGAGGAAACGTATTCGGATCCTTCCGGGTTTAATGAATCTTCCTGTGAGGAGCAGAAACACTAAATCAGGTTAAAATAGTTTTTATTTGTGCAAAATGTTGGAAAAGCACAAAAACAGTTAAATTATACAAATCACCTGCTGCCTTCCAGAACCGAGATTATAATCGGATAAATGAAGGAACTCCCAAGGAGATTTCCATCAATTAGGAAACAGGGAATATGATCTTGGAGACTCGGAGCTGGATGCAGGAAACGGCAGCTAAACTCGTGAGAGAACGTTTTATCCAGACTAGATCAGAGTCAGCCTGACGAGCGGGTCTCTGTAACAGGTCCGGTTCCTCCACCTGCTTCTCCGGGCTCCATCAGCAGCTGTAGAAGAACATTTTCTAGTTTTCTGAAACATTCTCCAAAATAAAAGCCTGATTCTGACCCCGCTGATCGTGTTTCCTGGCAGACTGACGGTCCAGGTGGAGTGTCCGATGCATCTGGAGGACTTCCCAATGGATTCCCACTCCTGTCCGCTAAAGTTTGGAAGCTGTGAGTGTCGAATCCACAGAGCCTGTCCAGACACGACTCTCACCGTCATCAGAATGAGCCTAAACGCACACAGAAATGAGCTTTCTGATCAAATAAAGATCGCTTTCTGGCATTAATAGATGCTTCATTGATTTGTGGCTCTTTAGCTTCACTGAGACTCTGTGGGATAAAGAGACAAACAACCTGTCAACAAGAAAAAGTTCAAATGAACCAAAAAGACCTTTTGCTTTTAGATTCTTACATTAAAATTTATTTGAGCAGAAAATATTTTCTTGTGCAAAAATATGAAACCAGATTTTTATGCTGCGTGAAGTTTTCAGGTTTCACGTCGTATTTCACGCTTTGAGTCTCATAAGGTTTTAAAATGTTTCTTTTCTTTGAAATGAAGTTCAGACGTCACAGTTTGACTTAAAACTTCTAGAAATAAATGTTTGTTTTAGTTCAGCGTAGAGCAAACTGAGATATAAACAAGCTGGTTTGGGGTCAAGGAGCCACTTCAGAGGCTCGAAGGGGCCTCGTGTGGCTCCAGAGCCCTGGGGATGCAGCTGCAGCTAACCTCCACACGTCTGGTCCTCCTGCTTCAGACGCCTACACCAAGACGGAGGTCAGCTACATCTGGCTCAGGTCGGTGGTCGTGGCGGCCGACGGATCCAGACTCAACCAGTACGACTTAGTGGGACACTCTGTTGGGAACGAGACCATTAAATCCAGCACTGGTGAGCAGAAACTAACCGCTAGCTCTACAGCTGATTCACATCAGCTGCAGTTCAAGATGGCCGCCACAGCTGAGCAGCACTGCTGAGTGGTGACAGGTCCAGGAATGTTCTGGAAGATGGATTCTGCACCAGAATCCATCTGACGGAAACCTGCTGTGGAGTCAGCTGAGATCTAACCGGGAACGTTGGAGGCACAAGAAACACGTTCTGTTCTTGTTTTATTTCCTCTGCGAGAATCGGATGAACACACCTGTTCCTGTTGCCCTCAGGTGAATACACCGTCATGACCGCTCACTTCCACCTGAAGAGGAAGATCGGGTACTTGTGATCCAGACGTATCTGCCCTGCATCATGACGGTCATCCTCTCCCAGGTCTCCTTCTGGCTCAATCGGGAGTCGGTGCCGGCCAGAACCGTGTTCGGTGAGTGACTCGTCTCACCAAAGGACATCTAAAGGGTGGGATAGAAGATGATGATGTAGAACCTGATGGATTATATTTTATTCTCATGACTGCAAGGAGCCTTGCAGCTAAAAGGTTGCTGGTTGCAATCCCACCCACACAGCGTTTCCTAGCTGTTAGCATGTCCTCCTCATGCATGTGTGGGTTTGCTCCGTTTCCTGCTACAGACCAGAAACCTCCATGTCTGGTAGTTTGTCCCTGCGTGTCCCCGTGATGGACCGGAGACATGTCCAGGCGTCCACCACCTCTCCTGGGATCCCGGGTTTGAGCAGCATGACACGCTGTCCTTTCCTCCGGGGAACATGAGCGGGACGGACCAACAGCAGAACCTCGGTTCCCTTGCTGCTCCTGAAAGGCTCTGATTTAACGAGCTACCCACAGACACGCCTCCGCCATAACATTATGACCATATGCTTCATGTAGTAGGTCCCCTTGTAACAGCTGACACACACCTGGCTCACTTACTGATGGAGGTGCTCCTTTTTCAGGTGTGACCACAGTTCTCACAATGACGACTCTGAGTATCAGCGCCCGTAACTCGCTGCCGAAGGTGGCCTACGCCACCGCCATGGACTGGTTCATCGCTGTCTGCTACGCCTTCGTCTTCTCTGCTCTGATTGAGTTCGCCACCGTTAACTACTTCACCAAACGGGGCTGGGCCTGGACGGGAAGAGCGTCGTCAACGACAAGGTAGGCCTGTTCGGTCAGGTGTTGGGGTTAGGCACGCCAACGCTGAAGGTGTTTCAAGTTTCCCTTCTTCTGAGCAGAAAAAGGAGGCGGCTGCGGTCAAGAGGAACAACGCCTACGCCGTGGCGGTGGCGAACTACGCTCCTAACATCATGAAGGACTCGGCGCTGCCCACCATCTCTAAGTGCTCTGTGAGCGAGCGTGGAAACGCCATGGCAGAAACCAAACCTGAGCAGAACCAAAAAACCTTCAACAGCGTCAGTAAGATCGACCGCATCTCCCGGATCATGTTCCCGGTTCTGTTCTGGACCTTTAATCTGGTCTACTGGGCCACGTACCTGAACAGAGAACCGGTCATGAAGGACCTGGTTCACGCTAACTGAAGCCAGCTAACAGCTGGTTTGGTTTGAGGAAAGTTCTCTTGTTTCTCTTTTAATGAGCAAATATTTTTAAGTTTGCCGTGAGCCCAAAGATCTGAGTCAAATAAACGTTTTTAAGACGGTAGAGCGTAGGAAATGTGACCGTCTGCTGTTCTGCCTCAGGTCAAAGCTGGAGGCTGGTTAAACCAGCTAGAACCGGTCCGTCAGGCTTAGCTGCAGAAGCACGTCGATCTGGAAAACATTTAATACAGAATCATGATGCTGATTTTTCTGTTTGATTTCCTGAAACAGCCCTTTGTAAAGTGTGACATCACTCTGGAGGAAACCTTCAACACCGACATGAAGAGTTAGCCGATCGCTAACACGCTGCATAGAAAACGTCTCGCTTGTATTTATGAGACTGAATCTGTTGAATATTGTGGCAGTCCTGCAAAGTCTTTGTTTTTTACCTGTTTGCACACTCTTCTGATGTAGCATTACAGCTAATATTAGCCTATTTGCTAACTTAGCATTGTTTTGTTCCTCCACCACGTGGTCCCTCCCGGATCCACGTTTCCTGGTGTAGCATTTAGGATTTTCTCCTCCTCCAGCTCCAGGAGCGGTGATCTCTGCAGCTTTTACCTGCCTGTCAGCCATGACTGATGTTCTCTCTCTCTCTCTCTCTCTCTCTCTCTCTCTCTCTCTCTCTCTCTCTCTCTCCTCTCTCTCTCTCTCTCACTCTCTCTCTCTCTCTCTCTCTCTCTCTCTCTCTCTCTCTCTCTCTCTCTCTCTCTCTCTACCTCTCTCTCTCTCTCTCTCTCTCTACCTCTCTCTCTCTACCTCTCTCTCTCTACCTCTCTCTCTCTCTACCTCTCTCTCTCTCTCTCTCTCTGTAGCACAGAGCAAAGGACTAATGAAGCTGACGTGTTGATGCACCCGTGAAAACTGTGTTTAGTGAACACTGAACGTTTTTATTCTCGAGTCTGTTTCGTGTGTCGCTACATGAACTCTGAGCTCTTCTGTGTTTCCAGTCAAACCTCCTGAATAAACCAAGGTCTTCTTTTGCGCTGTTGTGAATTCAAAGATAATCGAAGATTTCTCTAATAAATGTGAAAATAAAAAGATTCATTTGGAGAACGTTTTCTTTTTCCTTTTAGGATTTGGAGGAAAATTTGGGTAACGGGTTTGATCATTTATCCGTTTTTCCTCCATCCTCAGACCAGCTGGAACCTCCTGGTGTCGACTCACTCCTAACTTTGGGTTTCACTGATGATTGGAGCCGTTTCTGTAAATGAAACTGATAAAATCCAGGAAAAGGCTCATTTCAAACAGGAAGTCACACATGATCTGGGCTTCATGGTTCTGTGAGGAGCATCAGAGTTATGGAAGGAATGTCAGACAGGTCAGTCAAAACCTAAAAGCTGGATTCTGAGTCAGGATGAAAATCATCCTAGAAACACAGCCAACAAGCCACAGAATAAAACAGGGAAACATGGCAGTCTGCAGGCAGCCAACAGGTAGGAAGACTGTGGTTTTTATACAGTGGGAGGGTGATTACTGAGTGGGAACAGGTGTGAGGCTTTAACAGGTGAGGATGCAGAACTGATCCAAACGAGAGCACAGAAAAACAGTACAACCACAGCAAAGAAACTATTCCCAAAACCAGGAGCGTGCAGCAATCAGCTGTTTGCCAGCAGATACATGAGGCAGAGTCCAACCCCCCCCCCCCCCCCCCCCCCGTGCATCGAGTCATCGTTAGATGTGATGACTCCGTCCTTCACAGAACCTTTCAGAACCACATGCTGCTTTTTGACTCAGAGCCAGAGCTTTCAGCAGCTCTTGAGGGAAAGTCAGAGCCTGGAAAACTGGGAAGCTCAAGCCGTGAAGCATGAACGAGATTGGGATGTAAAACATCTCCTCACACCATCTTCCTGACAAAAGTTCCAAAAACCAGCAGCTAAAAGAGTTTTAGATGTTTCATCATTTTATTTCAATCAAATTCAATTTTCATCAAACTGATTTGGATAAATCTAGTTTCATTTATTATTTTCTTTCTCCTTCCAAGGTTTGTTTCAATAAACATCATTAATAACGTGTGTAAATAAACAAATAAATGACATATGCAGACGCAGCAACATTTCAAAAAGCTAAAACCTTAAACTTCAGGTCCCAAATGCAGAAGAGTATCATTGGTCAGGGTAAGCAGCTGGACAGGAATCAGCTGTTCCTTGTTTACTCAGGCTTTATTTATCCTGGATCTATATTTATCCTGATGCTTTATTTATCCTGTATTTTTATTTATCCTGGTGCTTTATTTATCTTGAAGCTTTATTTATCCTGATGCTTTATTTATCCTGTATTTTTATTTATCCTGGTGCTTTATTTATCCTGAATCTTTATTTATCCTGGGTCTTTATTCATCCTGATGCTTTATTTATCCTGGTGCTTTATTTATCCTGATGCTTTTTTATCCTGAGGCTTTATTTATCTTGTTGCTTTATTTATCCTGAATCTTTATTTATCCTGATGCTTTTTAATCTTGAAGCTTTATTTATCTTGAAGCTTTATTTATCCTGGATCTTTATTTATCCTGATGCTTTATTTATCCTGGTGCTTTATCCTGATGCTTTTTTATCCTGAGGCTTTATTTATCTTGTTGCTTTTTTTATCCTGAATCTTTATTTATCCTGGTGCTTTATTTATCCTGGGTCTTTATTCATCCTGATGCTTTTTTATCCTGAGGCTTTATTTATCTTGTTGCTTTATTTATCCTGAATCTTTATTTATCCTGATGCTTTTTTATCTTGAAGCTTTATTTATCTTGAAGCTTTATTTATCCTGATGCTTTATTTATCCTGGTGCTTTATTTATCCTGATGCTTTTTTATCCTGAGGCTTTATTTATCTTGTTGCTTTATTTATCCTGAATCTTTATTTATCCTGGAGATTTTTTTTTATCTTGAAGCTTTATTTATCTTGAAGCTTTATTTATCCTGATGCTTTATTTATCCTGGTGCTTTATTTATCCTGATGCTTTTTTATCCTGAGGCTTTATTTATCTTGTTGCTTTATTTATCCTGAATCTTTATTTATCCTGGAGATTTTTTTATCTTGAAGCTTTATTTATCTTGAAGCTTTATTTATCAATAACAATAACAATATTGATGTTTCTGTCATTTGAATGACATAACAGGATCAGCGAAACTGCAGTCACTCACAGATTATTTTAAGTTGATGAGAGTGTCAGATTAGATTACAGAAACCCATCTGAAGGAGAAGGAGGAGCTTTATCCAGTCTTCCAGCCTTAAGGTGGAATGATCACGTCTGCTTCTTTGAATCTGCCTGAACAGAATGGCGTTTCAAACTGACCTGAGTACAGATTATCTTCACACCTGCTGCCAGAAACTGCGCCTGCTGCATCTTTAAATCGGCTAAGATTAGAAACGGTTCTGGTCGGGTCGGGACTAAATCCTCCTGGTGCTTAGATCAACTGCATTCCTGAGAGGTGGGTCCTGCAGAATGGATGCTGCTGAAGAGGCTGCAATCCAGCGCTGATGCTTCAGCACTTTTCCCTCCGCCTGCCTTTGATTTTAACACATCACCTCATCCTTCCTGCTCTACTCCCTCTCGGGAAACTCTCCCTGAGCTTTGCACACAATCAGAACAAACCACAGCAGAGCGGGAAGAGCTCGGATGTCTCTGAAGCTGTTGTGAGGAGCAGGTCACTTCGCTCTTCTGGGTGGGGGGGTTGTGTTTTCTGGCCCAGCTGCAACTAGAGGCTTTCAAACAACAATCCGTTCGCTCATCACCCCATCAGCACTCCGGGAGCAGGCCGGCGCTCTGCCGCTGACACCAGCCACACAAATCTGCCCCAACGGTGTGAAAACAACTCAGATTTCACATCTGATTCAAAAATAAACAAGGATGTTTGAAAGCTCGTCACACATTTAACTGATTTACTAAAATGACTGAAGCTTGTGGAGAATCAACTAAAGATGGCGCCTGATGCTTGGCTGCCCGTCTGCCGCTCCTATTTTTGTTTTGAAACTGTTGGATGTTCGAGTCCTGCACCATCGTCTCGTATGATCTCGAGTCCTGCACCATCGTCTCGTATGATCTCGAGTCCTGCACCATCGTCTCGTATGATCGGCATACGCTCATTGATCTCTGATTCTTGGATCTCTCCATTTTCATCGCCGCGAGTTTGGAAGATCCTTCGTCTCGCTGTTCGCTATGGTCCCGGCGTTCCTGCTCAGCTCTCCGTTCCTTTTATGGTTCCAAAGAGGGCGTCGCCAATGCATGCCAGCAGGGGGGCTGGCGAGTGAAACTGAGCGCTTCATTGATGTCCTCGTCTTCGAAATCTGACCCTCATCTGAAACCGGACCCTCCCCTCTAGCACCGCCAGACACAGCTCACCCTGATCCTCTATCGAAGGACCCCCGGTGTGCCCATCATCGAACGGACCGAGGCCATTGGCTGATGAGAATTAAAAAGAGAGATCATATCTCTCCTGTCTTAGCTTCCCTACATTGGCTACCTGTTAAATTCAGAATAGATTTTAAGATCCTTCTTCTCACATATAAAGCTCTTAATAATCAAGCTCCATCATACATCAGTGATCTGATTGTTCCATATGTTCCTAACCGAGCACTTCGCTCTCAGACTGCAGGTCTACTGGTGGTTCCCAGAATATCAAAAATTAGGATGAGAGGCAGATCTTTTAGTTATCAGGCTCCTCTCCTGTGGAACCAGCTCCCAGCTTTAGTCCGTGAGGCAGACACCTTGTCTACTTTTAATAATAGGCTTAAAACATTTTTATTTGATAGGGCCTATGGTTAAAATCTGATGTTAGCCTAAATCTGGACAAGTGGGGGAGTAGAGGGAGGTGGAGTGTACAGTCGGTAAAGACGGCTCTCCCTTGCCCTGCCTCCAACATGCCTCCATCTAAATAGGATAGATTATCCAGAGTTATCTCTGTAGTTATGCTGCTATAGGCTTAGACTGCTGGAGGACACACTGACCACTTTCCACACTCTACTGCTTTCTTCTACAGTCTGCTCTTTAACTGTATTATTTCCTGCTATTTCAGCTGTTAACTTTATTTTCTCTCTAAGTGTTTTCCTCCCCAGAAGAAGCTGCGATGACGTTCTGCTGAGCTGTGGTGGCCTCATGGAGGGGGCCATCGACTAGCACACTGCTGCTAACCACTTAAACATTCTCCCTCTCCTGATAATAACTTTTTGCTTTCCTTGACGTTGGATGTGCTACTACTAGTTTACCCGTTTAATTATAGATCCACTAGGATAAATACAATAAAGTTTATCTTTCACCAAATAGAATATTTACTAGGAAATCACAATATAACTATAGACACATTACTTGTGTGTGTGTGTGTGTGTGTGTGTGTGTGTGTGTGTGTGTGTGTGTGTGTGTGTGTGTGTGTGTGTGTGTGTGTGTGTGTGTGTGTGTGTGTGTGTGTGTGTGTGTGTGTGTGTGTGTGTGTGTGTGTTTGGTGCAGGTCTGTTCTAGACTAGGTGCTCTAGACTCTGCTGCACCTCCAAATGTCAGGCGTAAAAAGACAAGCTGACTTTAAAATGTCAGATTAGAGGTTTTCTCTGTAGCACCACAGCCTCACACCAGCATTCATTACCTGGCTCTGGACACACCCCGCTCCTCCGACACAATCAGCCCGTGAAGCCGAAAGCCACCCGGCTGACTGAGCAGCACAACGTTCCTCACATCTGCAGCCTTGGCCCCAGATGTCAGCAGACTCCTCAGCGCCGTCGTTGTGTGGGAATAATCTCCTGCATGGCTTACCTTCAGGCGCTCTGCAGCATCTGTCAGCAAAAGCAAACAGTAAAGCTGGATGGAAAACAGCCGAGAAGCGTGTGTTTGCTTCAGATCAAAGACCTGAGTCGGTGTGGAGAAGTGAGATGCTAGCCTGGCTGGATGTGTGTGAAGAGTCCTTTTCTGTACGACGTCCCGTTTCCTGTTGGACGACACAAACAACATCATCGCTATTTAAGGGGATGTGGAGTCTTTTCAGAAGCATTAAAAAAGAATTATTAAGGATTTTATTCTTGGTTGGGATCTGGAAGCAGGAGGAATCGGCCTCTGGCAGCAACCCGGTGCTCCTGAGTCTCGATTCACTGTAAAATAAACGGAAATGAAAATAATGTAACAGAAGCTGTATTTCTTATTGTTGCCAGATTGTTCTCACCTGTTAGGGTCTCACTCACACACACACACACACACACACACCACGTCATTGACTTCCATTCATTTTAGTGACTGGATTGCGCCTGACCCTAACCGTTTTGTTTTCCTGCATTTGCACAACTTCCAGAATATTGAAGACATGAGACATCCAGGTAAGGTTGGCTCCTCCCCCTCCCGGACATGCCCCTCCCCCGTGATGGGACAGAGTTGTCATCATTCCAGAGGAGCCACGGTCCACCTGAGGCCCTTGAGCCTGGGCCCTGCACTGCCTCTTGCTCCCGCCTTCTTCCCGGCAGCTTACGAGTCAGGACCTCATCCCCAAGTCCCCCGCCCAGATCCCCACAAATCTTTTAAAAATGTGTAAATTTGTGTCACATTCCTGGTCTTTTAACCAACAGCAACATTCAAGCAGGCAGGAAATAAATAATATAAAAATACTCAGTAAACATTCATCTCTAACGTCTTTAAATGAAACGTGTCAAAAAGGGAAATATTTCATCACATTTCTAGTCAAAAACAAACATTTTCAGGAGAAACGTGGATTAAAAAACGTTGACTATATGAATGTATTGAAAACAGCCTCATCGCTGTCATGGAATTTCAAGACTGGTTTTTCGGATTCTGAAATCTTTTGAGTGTAATAATAATGTGAAGGGGAATGATTTTAAATGATGTGTTTTAATGGTAAATAACTTCCAAAATGTCTGAACTGTCAGAATGGAAGAAATCGTGATACAGTCGTTTTTCTCTGTCGCCCGACCCTACACTAATATAATTCAGCATAAAAACAAACCAAGCTAACTTCATGAAGCTAACAGCGTTGACTCACGCTCACCGTTGCCGGTTTATGGTTGTAGTATTCCGCGGTTTAGTAAAACCCACGTTTGTACATGCAGGTACACGTATGAGTGTTCCAAAGTCTCTGATGCCACATTCCATCATTTTCCAGTTCCTCATAATGACAAATCTCCATGAGGTGTACTCAGCTGCTCCACAAGGATGGAGAACTGTGTAGAAGTTCTGGTTCTGTCCTGACCCGAGCTGAGACCCTCTCAGGTCTTCTGCACGTGTCTTCATGGGCGCTACCTCTGTGTCCGAGCATCAGTTAGCATAGGTCTACGGCAGAGACTGCTGCACCCAAAAGCAACAGGAAACAGGTCCGAAGATGACTCGGTAGCGCTAAAAGTGTAAATCACATCTTTATACTACTTAGAGCAGATAATACAGCACTAAAGGTTGGTTTATGCTTGACGCGTCCGCGAGGTCCGCACGGCTCCGCACGGAAAAGTTGCATCATTTTAACAACCACGCCCCTCCACCGCGTCTCCGCACGGCCCAAGATTTCCGCAACGCGCACCTCGGAAAATTTCTAACCACGCGGACGGTCGGACGCGGAAAAACATGGCGGACCGGCAAGAACTAGTATGGCAGAGGTTGGTAAATACAGACATTTGTATGATTCAGCTCTCAGAGATCACCGTGATCAACATGTTGTTAATAATTCTTGGAGAGAAATAGCTCGCACTGTCGGAAAAGACGAGGACGCTGTTAAAAATGCTGGAATGCCATGTTGTAAACAGTCATTTCTACTTCTACTATGGTGTAGTGTTGGATGCATGCTATAGAGCTCCATGCTGCCCCGTTCAGTTTGGGAGAATATTGACTCACCGCAGAGACGAGCCGCATGAACCATAAACGCTGCGAGTTGTGAAGCGCGTTCCAGCCGCGGGCCGCATCACCGCGCGGAAAGTGAAAGCGTCAAGCATAAACCACGCTTTATAGTCTGTAAGACGTGGAGGTCGATCAGTTTCATTCTCATGGTTTATTTGTTTATATTTTGTGATTCTTCTTCTTTCTGTGAGACTGGTGGGGCGGCGCCCTAGCGCCCCCTATGGACGAGCTGCCACTGGTCTGCCGTTTGTGTTTCCCAGCAGGTGGTTTCACTGGTGTGTTATGAATATTTCACTGGTGTGTTATGAATATTTCACTGGTGTGTTATGAATAAACAGAATGTGATTAAATAAATGGGCATTAAACCCTCTGGAAGTGACTTCCACTTCCTACCGGAGGTTTGGTCCCCGGTCCTCGGCCCCCACCCGGGTTGGGACCCATAAATCTGAGGTCTGGCCCTGCCGAGAAGGACATTTGAATTAAAGTGAATGTCTGACGTGGCTAAGGTGCCCTTGGGCAAGGCTCTGGCTCTGGCGTCTGTGTGCTCGGGTTTAAATCCTCCAACAGCCGCCGGTTCAGGTGTATATTTCACCGTCTCCGGTAGGCGCAACATCTGTCCCAGCCGCCCGTTAACGGCACTGCAGATGGACTAAAGCAGAGTCAGCCTTCCGGCATCCTCCTCCTCCCCCTCCTCACCCCTCATGGACGCGTCCCTCTCCTCCTCACACTCTCTCCTCCTGACCAGCCCCTGCACGCCGTCGTGATCTAACGGGAGGAGGAAAAACACCGATTTCCCGGCGGGAGCCGCTGCGGTTTTATTGTTCTGTGATCCAGCTGCTGCGGGATGAAGCTGTGGTTCGGCGGGACGCTGCGGGAGGAAGCCATGACTCCGTGGCTGCTGCTGGCGCTGCTCGGTCTGTGGTGAGTTTCCGTTACACCGTGAGGGGTTGGAGGCGGGTTGGCCGCAGATGGCGCTTCTAGCTTCGGCCTGGAGGTGTGAAGAGGCCACGGGAGTTCCAGAGCAGCTGGAGCGGGTTTGTTCCGGTTCGGTGCTGAGTCACCTGTTTGTAGAACCTCGACCTCAGAATGAAGATCAGGCTGGGGAGGTCCTCACCTTTACCTGCAGCTCCTTAATCTGACCTGAACAGCAAACGGTCTGAAGCAGGTTCAGTTCTGGTTCGGTTCGGTTCTGGAGCCAGTTAGGTATGATGTTTAACCACACCGATTCTGGCTCTGGAGGCCGATACCGATCATCGGCAGATTTAGGTTGATCTCTGAGTACCTTCTTGATGCTGGAGATGTTCACCAGCAGAAACAGACGGTGATGTCACGATGAGAATGTTGACTGGAAGGAAAACTCTGGTTGAAGCAAACATTCCATCATGGATCTGTGATGGAATTAGCTCTGATGACCTGTTATGGGATGTTCAACAGCTGGTCTGAGTTCAGCCGAGTCCAGAATGAGCTTCTAAATTTCCCAGCCGTCCATTTCAGGAAACCACACCAGGTAGACTCGGTCTTCCTGTCAGACTCCACCCCTGGAGGAGGAGCTACAAACGAGTTCCTAAAAACTCACAGGTGAGGTGTAACATGAGAGTCATGCTGCACTCAGAGTCCTATGAGGGATGCAACTCTGTTTCTCTGAACAGAGGCTGTTCAGCTCTGGGTCAAACATTTACTCAAAAACACGTCTGAAAATAACCACAAAGGCAGAATTTAGGTTATTTTTACTGGATTACGTAATCTGGTCTTTTTGAGCTTCTTAGTCCTCAAAGAAAAGGTTAAAGGTCAGCCTCCTAGGTGTCTTCTTTACCCTGACATAAAACATCTTCTGCTCCTTCTGGATTATCTGCACATTCCTTCTTGTGCAGCTGAACTCAACCTGAGCTTAAAGGCCTGAAATCTTCTGGTCAGACAAAACGATTCCTTTAAACACGATGAGACTAAAAGCTGCTTCATCCCTGAAGCTCTGAGGACCACAAACGTAGACGTGCTGCTGTGGGTGTTTCCACATCTGCAGCGCTCCGTTCTGCTGGTGTTGGCTCAGAGAAACGGAGCTGATCTGGAATCAGGCTCTCATCTGGAGGCTTCAGCCTGGTGGGTTTCAGCTGCTTCGGTTCTCCTGAGGGATCCCTGATGGCAACACTCCAAACAGCAAGTCTGCAGCTGGAGGAGGAGTCCCAGCTGATGATAATTACACACCGCTGTCTGGTTCTGATTACACACGCAAACACACTAGAGGAATACATTCGGCCAAATCTTCAAAATGACTCGTTATTCTAGGATCTCCTGTTAGAACTCTGATCCCGGAGGACTTGGAGCCTGCGCCCAAAGCTCCTCAGCTGTAGATCTTCATCCAGTCAGAATCAGAAGTCATTCAGCTAACAAAATACCCTTGGCTGTGATGCTCTTCACCTGTGAGATTAAGGTCCTGAATGAATGGGAGAGTGAACCCTGTGACGTTCTCTGATGAAGTGGTGAGGCCTGGAGGAGCTGGGCTTGTCTCAGCCTCAGCAGAAAGAGGAGATGTTGCTGTGCCTGGTCTAGGTGAGGTCCATGCTAAGAAACCTGGTGATGCTGACTCCACCTCTGAGCTGAGATCCAGCGTGGAGAGGCTGTGCAGGAGTTTAAGTTGATGAAGAGGATTCTGATGAAGGTGTCATCCAGGTGTGACAGGGCAGCCTGTGGGACACGACGTCAGCAGAGTGGTTGGACTGGTACAACCTGAGGGGTTCTCTAAGTGGTCCTGGGTGAAGGTGGTTTGTTGGAGGTTCACAGGAACCCCCACTGGCTCTGAGCTCAGGCTCAGGTGTCACACAGCAGGCTGAGGCAGGGCTGCTCAGATCCAGACCCGGGTCCAGGTTCAGTTCAGGTGTTCTCGGAGCCGCTCGTCTCTGAAGTAGCCTCTTCAAACTTCTGTTTCTGAAGAACTTCTGATTTGTTCTGGAGAACCTTCATGCAGACGTTTCTTTTCAAAAGCGGTTCAGAACTTTTTTGGCCTAAAAAAAAAACAAAAATAAATAAAAAGTCAAGGAGACCAAACTGGTGTTTGAGCTTTTACTTATTCAAATAACACCTTCTGACCTGCACCAGGTGGGACATGGTTTCGTCAATCAGACACCCCCGTCGACCCGTTTGGGTCGGATTGAATGAGGGGGTAAGGAGTCACTGGAATCCCGGGCTGGCAGCCAAGTCCTCTGGTTTCTACAGAACCGGGTCGGTGTTTATTAGCAGGGAGCAGCAGCAGCAGCTCGTTTGGCACCAGCCGAGTGTTCAGCCGGGTGGAACCGGCGGTAATAGAAACAGCAGGACTCATCAGAAAGCAGACTCCTAGGAGCGCTTAGAGCTCCGTTTACATTGAATCCCTCTGAGACCGGAGCAAGTTTCCCTCAGACAGGAGTAGACGATCCCAGAAATCTGAGTTTTTACTTTAATTAGCTTCAGAAAAGTTGCTCCTTCTGTTAGAAACAGCTGATTTTTATTTTCTCTGCTGAAACAGGCAAGGTCTGATTTCTGCTTTCCAAGCTAAAATGTGTCCTTTCACAGTTCTGGTGTCAGTGTGTGATGCACACACACACACACACACGCATGCGCTTGCTCACACACACGCACACGCACACACACACACACGCACGTGCATGCACGCACACACACACATGCACACACACACACATGCATGCACATACACGCGCGCGCACACACACACACACACACACACACACACACACACACACACACACAGCTTTGCTAGGAGTATGGTCAGGGTGTAACAGAAGGAGATGAGTGAGAGGTGTACATGAAGGTAAACTGGATTTATTTTGGTCTCTGCAGATTTCTGAACCCACACAACCAAAGGAAGGAGCCTCACAAGAAATAATCCCAACTTAGAAAATATGACAATCTAAAATGAACCCTGACAGGAGGAAACCAGGAGGCTCTCAAAAGCTAACTTAGACCAAAGATGAAGACAGTTTCACTGTTGACTTAAAGATCTGCCACACAACTAGAAGATAACCAAAACTGAAAAAACTCAATTCAAAGCTATGGAATAAACTAAAACAACAACCAAACCTAGGTTGTCCTCCTGGATTTGATCTGAAGCTTGAAGCTTCTCAGTGGCCTAGTGGTGGAGTGTCCACCCTGGGGCTGTGAGATCTGGTCTCAAATCCTGGTTGGGTCATACCAAAGACCTTAACAATGGGACCCAAAGCCTCCCTGCTTGGCACTCATCTCGAAGGGGTTGCATTGGGGGGTTAAACCACCAAATGGTTCCCGAGCGCGGCCACAGCTGCAGCTCACCGCTCCCCACAGGGATGGGTCAGATGCAGAGATGAATTTCACCAGTGTGAGATGAATTAATGGGACTTTAACTTCAAGCACACGAGTGGTTATGAAAGACTTATCAAAGTGCTGAGTTCCTGTGAACATTCAAACTAGTCAGACGAGGGAAGTGAGACAACAGCACTAATCCGTGTCCTCGCTCTCCACCAAGCACCGGAGATCTGCTCCCTATTGAAGGTGCCACCAGGATCAGGGTGGTTCAGCGTGGCTCTGCAGGACTCATCCAGCATGGCGCTGTCCATGGTGCTGATTTTCTTTAGCTGCAGTAGAGACATCTGGACAGGAGCTGTCCAAGGTGCTGAATGCTCAGGGCTGTGCTGGGATGAAAGCCGGAGAAAGCAGCAGCAACCAAGCACAAACACACAGTCTGGTTTCTGCTGGTTCTGGTCCGGTTTTAGTTCTTCACGACACATGAGATTGTGTCAAATACTGACAAACAGCAGCTTTGATGTTGGAAAACTAAAATAAATTCATTTGAAACAAAATGTTTCTTCAATCAAATCAAATCAAAGATACTTTATTAATCCCAGAGGGAAATTAGAGTTTCAGTACACACAATTCAGAGATCAGACATACATGGGCAAGACACATGACAAGAATTGGTGACTGTGGTCATTCGCAACCCTGAGTCGCGCTACTTTAATAGAGGTAAGAGGGTTGCATGAGGATTGGTTCAGGTGGAGGGAAAAAAGGCACTTCAGAGTTACCCTCCACCAGGAGGTCAGCTTTGCTCTGCAAAAAAAACACCTCAACAGATATGCAACAGACTTCAGACAACACAACATAAGTGTCCACTTATTTCCAAAAGCAGCAGGACAACTAAACTTTGGGCAGCAGTAGCTCAACGGGTTGAGCGGGTTGTCCAGTAATCGGAAGGTTGCAGGTTCGATCCCGGCTCCGGACAGAGAATTCTGCTGTTGTGTCCTTGGGCAAGACACTTAACCCACCTTGCCTGCTGGTGGTGGTCGGAGGGACCGGTGGCGCCAGTGCTTGGCAGCCTCGCCTCCGTCAGTGTTCCCCAGGGCAGCTGTGGCTACATCGTAGCTCATCACCATCAGTGTGTGTGAATGGATGAATGATACACTGTAGTGTAAAGCACTTTGGAGTCCGTACTCTGAGAGACGCTATACAAGTGTGGATCATTTATCATTTATCATTTAAACCCCTCACTGGACCGCAGCTGGAATCACAAGTATGGCCTTATCTAGTCACATGACTTCAGGTCAGAGTGTCTCCATTACGTCTCGTGTTTGTCTCCGACTCCTCGCAAAGTTGTGTCTGTTTTAGAAAAAACGTCTAACCATTTCCACAAGGGGATCAGGAACCACAGCAATCATTCTCACACATAAAGGTGTCGTCTGGTCAGAAAACACCTCTGGATGTTTGGAAGGTGGAGATTCTGCCATCAGACAGACAACCTGTTATATGCAGTTATGTTCAGAAACACCTTAAACTCACACGTCAGCATTTAAACATCCAAGTGTTTTCTCTCCTTCCCAGTTCAGCCATCAGTCCCAGTAAGCAGGAGGAAGAGGACTACGAGGATGTTCCCATTAATAAGACCTGGGTCCTCTCTCCGAAGGTCTATGAGAGTGACGTCACTCTGATCCTCAACAAGCTGCTGCAGGGTTACGACAACAAACTGAGACCCGACATCGGAGGTAGGTCTTCTGGATTTATGGGTCAGGAGAACCAAACAGACCCTGTCAGATCTTTCCAGGATTCCCAGATCCTGGAATTGTGTCATTTCCCCTCCTGTTGTGTTTCAGTTCGGCCAACAGTGATTGAAACAGCTGTTTACGTCAACAGCATTGGGCCCGTGGATCCCATCAACATGGTGAGACGGATTCATCCCATTCACATCTTTACAGAATTCCACCTCCAGAGACGCCGATGTTTTAACACAGACTGATTCCCAATGAGGAATATGTGGATGAAAGTCCAGCTGCATGTCTGGATCATTCAGCAGATTTAAACATAAAAGGAGAGGAAAGAGGTGGACTTAAACACTCCAAACAGGAAAAAGGGCACCGGTCAGTTTGGTTTTAGGAATTTTGACTAAAACAAGTCATTTCAGAAAATCCCTGTTTATGATGTCACAATCGGGAACATTGGCATTGACTAATCCTAACCCTAGACACATCAGCCAATCAGGGAATAAGTGGGCGTGGCCACCACTTGTTTTCTTCCAGTGACGGAGCCCTGCAAGGTCTCCTGCTGGAAGACCGGGAATAGAGCTGCTTCATGTGAGAGGGCTAGAGCAAACGAGTCATGAGCATGTTTGGTGTAGAAGTTTATCGGCGGACCAGGAAGCAGCTCAAACGGACATTTGCAGCTTCTCCTGGGACTTTTGTTGCAGGAGTACACCATCGACATCTTCTTCGCCCAGACGTGGTACGACAGCCGGCTGAAGTTCAACAGCTCAATGAAGCTCCTCATGCTGAACAGCAACATGGTAGGAAAAATCTGGATTCCAGACACCTTCTTCAGGAATTCCCGCAAATCCGACGCCCACTGGATCACGACTCCCAACCGGCTGCTGCGGCTGTGGAGCAACGGGAGGGTGATGTACACGCTGAGGTGTGTGTGTGTGTGTGTGTGTGTGTGTGTGTGTGTGTGTGTGTGTGTGTGTGTGTGTGTGTGTGTGTGTGTGTGTGTGTGTGTGTGTGTGTGTGTGTGTGTGTGTGTGTTCTGTTTTTGTGTCCTTGGAGAAGAAACGGATGTAAAGCTGATTTCTCTTTGTTGCAACTCTGTTTTTATCAGGTTGACTATAAATGCGGAGTGTTACCTTAAGCTGCATAACTTTCCTATGGACGAGCACTCGTGTCCGCTGGAATTCTCGAGCTGTAGGTGGTCAGACCAAGCCCCCCACCCCCACTCATTAATGAACCCGCCATCTCAGCTTCTGTGACTTGTTCAGAATAAGGTTGTAGCACGTTAGCTAAGCCTGTGTTCGTTCTCGTCGCCAACGGGCCCATCTGCTTCAGGCTGCATCACCCCACCCCCCAGCAGAGCGACGAGGTCACCTGAACCGTCTCCTCTAACAGAGTTCATGATTTCTGCACCTCTCCTGTCTGATTCATGTTGTCTGAGTCATCATTTGTCTTGTGCGCTGTGCTTTTGCCTCTCGTGTCTCTTCATGATCCCAATCTTCCACGTGAACGTGGAAAAGAGAAAGCATCTCATGGAGCCGAGGACGAACAGAGGAAGCAGATCAGTCTCAGGAAATGAGCTCAAAGTGAGATAAAGAATCGGAGATTTAGAGTCCCAACAGCAGAGTGGTCGTGTGTTGTTACCAGAGTAACAAACACAGATAATAACTGGGAAAAAACAGACTTTAGCCTCAGAGCATAAATGGTATTCCAGCCATTTGGAGTGTGTAAATAATTCCAGAGCGGCCTCTGTTTAGAGGAACAGAGTTGGGTTTACCAGGACTGATGAGCTCATCTTAAAACAGCTCCACTCTCCTTTCTGATGGGATCTTTCCTCTTCCCAAATCCTGGATTTCATTGCTGTTAAAAATCCCCTTCAGGCTGAAAGCTTTAAAGCCTTTTCAAAGTTGGTTTGGCTCAAGCTCGTAGTGGTGAGGTCAGACCAGCGGGTCCAAGTGCACTAGGGTGACCAGATCCCAACTTCCCAAATGTGGGACAGAGATTCTCAATGTTTTATATTAATTTTCCTCTAAAATCAGCATCTCATAGAAAAAATATCCATACTTCTTTGCTACTTTTTTCATAATTCAGAAACAAAACAATTTTTCAACGTGACAACAAATCTCTTCTAATTTCAGGTGAGAGAATAAACATCAGATTATAATCTCTAAAAAATTCAGATATAATCTAATAAAAGTTTCTTAGAGTTACTTGTTGCCTCAAATGTCTGAGAATAAGTGATCAAAGCTTCCGTTTATTGTCATGTCTTCACTGTGCTTTAAGGGCTCAGAATGTTTTTGTTTATGTTTATTTATTTAACAGACGCTTTTATCCAAATCGACTTACCTATAACCTATAGGGCATGTTGTGATCCGTGGGGGAAACCGGAGTACCCGGAGGAAACCCACGCATGCATGGGGAGAACACGCAACTCCACGCAGAAAGGCCGCAGCCGAGTTTCTAACCTGCAACCTTCGTGCTGCGAGGCAACAGTGCTAACCACTGCGCCACCGTGCAGCCCAGTGTACGCGGGTATCTGAAACCGCAGCACCTTGCCTGTGTTAGAGCCTCCATTGTGTCTACCATGGACCTGTCTAATTACCGGAAAACCTGCTTTTGACCCCTTCATATCAGGCTCCACACACGCTCCGGACCTGCGTTAAAGTCCCGCCTCCGTTTGATTGACAGCAACAGGCAGATTTCTCCAGTTTCTTCTACAAGATTGAAACTCGAAACAGGAAACTGTCAATAATGCGGGACTTCTGGTCCCCCTAGAGTGGACTGACCTTCACATTTAAAACTCCAGTCTGAAAAAAAAACAAGTTTTGCAAAAGTTTCACATTATTGTTGTTTTGGTGGGAATATTAAGATATTCCTGCTGATTTAGTTCCTTCAAATGAAGCAGATACGCTACAGCTAGCTGCTTTAGCGGCTATGTTTGCTAACCAATAAACAGAAATGTTCCGTCTAAAGGGCAGCGTTCCATGCACTACATCACTCTGACTGTAGCGTGTCACTGGTGGCGTCGCACGAACCTGTGGGTAGTTTGGGAGATGGGTTAACAGTGATGCACTTAGGTTTCAGCTAGAATCTGGTTAGGGTTAAGCTCTTTCTCTAAACTAAGGCTGTTCGAAGAGCTGCTGTTGGGACCACATTTGTTTTGCTGCTTTGAGGACGTTTCCTGAGCTGGAGCCAATCACATCTTGAATGTTCCATCAGCCTTGTTGTGGCCTAGTGTTCCTGGAGGTCAGCTGATCAGAGTGTGTGGAAAACATGGACACAGCCACCAGTTCATCCCGACGAGCTCTCTGAATCCGGCTGGAAGCTTCTCAGAGTCTCAAATCAGACGTTTAAACTGCTGCCGTCGTGCAGAAACAGCCGATTTCATGTTTTTGTTCCTTTTGTTTTGCATCAGCGCTCCTAAAGGACTCTCATCATCAGAAATGATCAAAGCATCTGTTAGATGTTATTTTAGTGCATGGCTTCAAAAGAGGAAGAGTAGAAGAGGCTGGAGCACTCGGGTCAAGTGAAATACTGAATAGGTGCAGCAACAACTCGAACATCATGCTGTCTTGGTCAGAGTTACAGTTTAGATGTTTCACACAGCAACAAACTAGTCACATGCTCACTGGTTGTGAAGCTGAGGGCTGGAGCAGAGGTGAGTCGGTGTCGGTCCGGAAAAATAAACAAACACGATGGAGTTCTTCTCCGTCCATTTAAGGAAACCGTTAATAAATCAACGAGTTACGGTGACAGACACAGCGATGCTAACGCCAGATGCTACAACAGCGGCTAACCCTAGCTCATCTAACTTATGTTAACAAATAAAACGTGACGTGACCCGATGCCCCAGCCTCCTTTTCTACTGTTGGTCCCACTGATGAGCACCGGCACTTTTGGATGAAGCACATCACCAAGTTTCTGGGAAAACTGTTGTTCGTCTCTGGAATGTAGCCGGAATTTCTGCTTCCTGTTTGAGTCTGTTGGTGCCTCAGTGGCTGTGCCCATCTTCACTGTGTGTGTGTGTGTGTGTGTGTGTGTGTGTGTGTGTGTGTGTGTGTGTGTGTGTGTGTGTGTGTGTGTGTGTGTGTGTGTGTGTGTGCGTGTGTGCGTGTGTGCGTGTGTGTGTGTGTGTGTGTGTGTGTGCGTGTGTGCGTGTGTGCGTGTGTGTGTGACTAACAAGAGTTTGTGCTGCACCTTCCAGACGGCTATCCTAGGAACGAGATCATGTACCGGTGGCAGAGGCGAGCGGTGGAGGTGGCCGACCAGCGCTACTGGAGACTTTACCAGTTTGCTTTTGTGGGAATGAGGAACACGACGGACGTGGCTCACACCCAGTCGGGTTAGACGGAACCAGACTTTAGTTTACTCTCTGCCGACGTGAGTCAGGAACATTTTGACGGTGTTTGTGATAAACTTCCAGGTGAATACGTCATCATGACCATCTTCTTTGACCTGAGTCGGAGGATGGGTTACTTCACCATCCAGACCTACATTCCCTGCAGCATGATCGTGGTCCTGTCCTGGGTCTCCTTCTGGATCAACAAAGACGCCGTCCCAGCCAGAACTTCCTTAGGTCTGTTTCCTTCCACAGACTCTGGTTTTGTGTTGAATTCTTTGGACTGAGATGAATAAATAAGCTATTCCGTGTTTCACTCTGCATTTTCTCTCCAACGCTCTGTTAGGCATCACTACGGTGCTCACCATGACCACTCTGAGCACCATCTCCAGGAAGTCCCTGCCCAAGGTTTCCTACATCACCGCCATGGATCTGTTCGTCTCCGTCTGCTTCATCTTCACCTTCGCGGCGCTCATGGAGTACGGCACTTTGCACTACTTCACCAGCAACCGGCAGAGCAAGAAGACCAAAGCCAGCACCAACACTCAGGTACCGGAGCTTCTGTTATTCCCCCCCATCCCACCCAACCACACGGCTGATTTTCACCGCCTTCCCTCTGTAGCAGAGGGCTCCGAGCATGGTGAACATCCGGCCCGGAACGTCGCTGCTGCAGATGAACAACATCGTGCCCTACCACGAGGACGACGAGTACGCCTACGACTGTTTAGACGGGAAAGACTGCGCCAGCTTTTTCTGCTGCTTTGACGACTGTCGATCAGGTGCCTGGAGAGAAAACAGGATGCACGTTCGAGTTTCCAAGATCGATTCGTATTCCAGAATATTTTTTCCCACTGCTTTTGGTCTTTTCAACCTAGTTTACTGGATAGGATATCTGTATTTATAAAAAGAAAAAAACGGCTGGAGTTTAACGTCCGCAAACATTTCCGCTGCTTTTAGATTAGTTAGAGACGATTTGCTTTCCTGACACCACCAGCCTGGCTGCAGAGAGGCACGGCATGCTAGCGTTCCTCTGCTTCCTGATCCGCAGAAAAACGATCCCAGTTACTTTGTGTGAAATTGGTTGTGGTGAAAAAGTTTGCAGGTGTGAAACTCCAGCCGCCATAGAGGAGGTATCGCCATGACCCGGGTTTTGTTTATCCTTTAAACCGCTGAAGCAGGAGAGCAGGAGAGGAGCAGGGATGGCATTCCTGCTCATGTGGAGAAAAACGAGTGTGTGTTCCTAAACCTTACGGGAGCTGATGGTAGTTTTCCAGCAGCTAGGTTTTATATCCAGATGTACCACGAACTACTGGCACCAATGTAAACAGCTGGATTGTTATCGGTGTAAAGCCTCCAGCGGTTTCCGTGTCGTTCTGCGTCCCCGCTCGTAAACAACTGGATAGAAAACTGTTGCATGTAGTAAAAACAATCCCAGCATCGGAATATCTGCAGCAATACAGTTAAAGGCAGCTGTCGGTAGCATCTTATCGGGAGAAAGAGTTATTCCCACTTCATCCAAACCGGCCACGGAGTTCCCGCCAACCGGACACTTTTCTAGTTTAGGACCTCACGAAGCAGGAGGCTCAGCACCAGCATGACTACGGGGGCTTTTTAGGGACAAAAAACCAGGAAGAGTTGAGACTAAAGTTAAGATTCTCTCCACAACGAAACAAAGTTTGGACGAATGTCGGATCGTTTTGCCCATTTTAGACCCGGTTACCCACAATGCCTTGTGATTTTACCTCCACGTGTTCTGTCAGCTCAGCTGTGCCCTGTAGATATCTGAGAGATGTTTGAGACTCTTATTGTGAAGGACTGAAGGAAGCTCTGCTGTGGGAGAAAAAGCATCATTTTTTAAAATTAACTCAGTGAAACACAGTCAGAACCGTCGGATATTAGCATAACTAAAGGTGTGGTTCTGGGTCAGAACCGGGTTCCATTAAGAACCCACGTCAGACTGTTTAGAGCTTCAGGAAGCTCATCACTTCCTCCCAGCGATGCTCCTGCAGCTCCCAGTTTACACAGAAACCTGAGATTTTACAACAGCAGGTGAACACGACTGGGTCAGATGTTGCCTTTCGGTCACACCAGCTGTTTCAGAGGGCAGCGGAGATCATTCCTACCACACGGAGATTATTATTTACAATTATTCAGTCTGAGGTCAAGCCCAGACGGTGTGTCTCAGCAGCAGCGTGTGTGTTGACCTGCTTGTTGCAGCGGCGTTTCCACACACACACACACACACACGTGTAAAAACGTGTTTTTGTTTTAGCTCCTCGGAGCCACTCCGTTATAAGATGACCGAAGTGCTGTCGGATAACGGAAGCATGATTTCTGATGATGATGTTCAGGGGCAGACTGATTACTGTTGCCATGGTTACCTGCCTTTCTGTGACCTGAAGTAAAAACAGGCAGGTTTGTGACTCATCAATCTAAAAAATACTCAAAATCAGCAGAACTGAATCCATGTTGGGCTGGAAAAAAAAACGTCTTTTTCCTGGAAATTTCCCTTCTTTACACCGGAAGTTTAGACGTTTTGGTCCAATTATCCGTCCAGATGATCACAATAACAAGAACACTATTATTTTCCCTTTATTTTAAATCTGATGATTATTTTCCTATAAAAAAATTAAAAATAAATCCCAATTAAAACGAACTAGCAGCAACTTTTTTACATGAATAATATCTGAAATAAACAATTTATTTTTTGTTTGTTTATCAGTCTGGAGTTTTATTAAAAGTTGTTAGTTTATATTAACCTAAAATCTCTGAGTACCTGAAGAGGAATGTAATAATAATAAATTATTATTATTAATATTAATATAATATAATAATAATAAATTAATATTAATATAATATTAATAGTAACAAAAACAACAATAATAATCAATTATTAGTAGTATTATTAATATTAATATAATAAAAAAAATAATAATAATAATACATTATTATCATTATTAATATTAATATAATATAATAATAATAATAAATTAATATTAATATAATATTAATAGTAACAAAAACAACAATAATAATCAATTATTAGTAGTATTATTAATATTAATATAATAAAAATAATAATAATAATAATAATAAATTATCATTATTAATATTAATATAATAATTATTATTATTATCCATGCTAAGCTGTTTGTCTAATCCAACCTGAAACGTTATACAATTCTTCATGTTTAATTTCACGACCAACTTTAATGAACTTTACGTAATTTAATTACCCAGAAGGTAATTATTAGGAGTGAATTATTGATCCAGATTTTAAATTTTACTCAAGTTAGTGAAAACAAATGAATATCAGCTGAAACTACAGATAGTATCAGAGAAAAGTGAGTTTTACATCAGAGGAACGTACAGATTATGTCAAAGGAAATCCCAGATTAAATGGATAAAAGTGAAGCTTATTCTGTAACCTGCAGTGAGTCTGATGTGTTTGTGAAGAGAAGTTAAGGACGCTAAACACAACTTTTATTTAAACTTCACTTTTTGGTATTCATGCAGAATTTTGTCATCATTTATTTATGGAAGTTCTGATCCGGACGCTTTTCCGCTTTTGGGTTCCTGACTTCTGCTAAAAAAGAAACCGTGAGAAACCTCTCAGTGAAATCCAAAGAAACTGTGATGGATCACATGTGAAGATTTGTGTTGTAATTCTTCTGCCTGAGAAACTTGTTTAGGACACGCAGAGCATTATGGGTATCAGCTGATTTCACAGGTTTGTGTTTGATCAGCAGTAAAATCGGAATAACAGAAATGTTAGAATAACCTTTATTTATTCAGCTGGACTCCAACTAACCCGCGTCACTACCATCTAAGATCAGCACCGGCGACCGTAGAAGTCTGAACCTCCGAACCTTTCATTGCCTTTTAGCTGAACGTTACCTCCGAATGATCAACGAGGAGCTAAACGTGCTGAATAACTGAAGCCATAAACACACCTGCGGCCCCGTGGCTCTGTAAATGTCGCTCTTGTTGTTTTGTGAATATTAACTCGACACACTGTGACTGAATAAAGCAGTGCCTGAAATCCTCCTCGTGTCCAACTTTGTGTCGGAGACTTCAAACGTACTCAGATGCTTCCGGCTTGTTGCCGTGGACACGACGCAGCGCTCCGGCTGGCTGCCTCGGAGGCCGCATCCCGACCCGGGAAAACATTTTAGTTTAACATCTCAGTGTGCATCATGCTCCTGCTCCGCCATGTTTGTTTACTCTAAAGTCGCCGTAGAGCTCACGGGATTTCCCATCTGAGCGGGGAATGTGCGGGAATCTGTCCAGTTTGGAAAATGATTCAACAGTTTTAAATCCTGATGTAGGAACTGGGTCTGATCCTGCTAATATTTTAATCTTTAACACGTTTACCCCCCACACACACACACACACACACACACACACACACACACACACACACACACACACACACACACACACACACACACACACACACACACACACACACACACACACACACACACACACACACACACAGATCATTTAGAGATTCATGTCTGCACTGGTTATTAGTGATGAAACATCTGGATTGCTACATGCTCGGGAGTCATCTGGAATCTTGACAAATGCTGTCCAACCCCCAGAGCACCTTCCGCCCCCCTCTACTACCACCCCTGTTTAGCTGCAGTAATTAGGCTGAGAGGGGGGAGGCAGCGGCACCTGAATAGTCTCCTGCTGAGATGGGATTATGGGTGAAAACTTCACCTCCTGCTTGGAAAAGAGGAGAACATGGAGGAACCTTCAGGGACTCAGACAGGTCTCCCTGGTAGGAGGAGCAGTGGTGGAGAGGGGCAGATGCAGAACTTCCCAGGACATCATTTCGTTTTGTTTCCTTCCATTCTCTCTGCAGATAAAACGGCATGAAACAACTTCTTTCTTCTCTGGTTGTAGCGCAGACGCGCCGAGCAGCCGGGCACTAGTGAACGCAGCACAGTGACAACCACAGGCTGCATTCAGTCACACAACACGGTAATAACTCACACTAATAAAAGTGTGTTTCACAGCAGTTACGTTCTAAAACACAAATAAAGTCACACACACCTCCACTCAACCTCCTGGGAAGCTGCTGCATCATCAGATTCACACGAAAGGTGACTTTCTGCCAACAAAGCACCCGAGTGGATGCGGTTATTCTGTCCTCGCCCTCCAGCAACGTCAGAACGCTCGTACTCATAAATAACAAAACATACAAATAAACAGTTTCTGTCTGCAGAGAAAACACAAAGACTTCAGCCCAAACCTCCAGAGGGGATTAGAGCGCCTTCTGTGGTCTGAGACCAGATATGTTTGATCTTAACAGAATATAAAATATGAACTTTAAACTATATAAAACATAACCTCCCTCTCAGGCGAGGTTCTGCCTCTCAGGCGAGGTTCTGCCTCTCAGGTATATGGGTCATATATTTCATTTCATCCTTATTCATCTAAGCACAGATTAATCAAAACATTTCATTCAACCATATTGTCCATTTCATTATATGATGTAATTATGAAAGTTCATCCTTTCATGAGAGTGTGTCATGAGTCGAGGTAAGTGCCTAACCCAAGACATGCAGAATCATCACACGTAGTCCAAAGCAGTAAAGTAAAATGTCTTTATTATAATCACGGGAACTGAAACCGCACAAGGAAGTCCTGTGGGGGTGAGCAACACGGCTCGAGTCTCTGAGGTGCTCAGGTTAATGAGGAGATGAGGGGAAGCCGGGAAGGACGCTGGGCAGAGGGTGAGAGGTCCATGAGAGGTGAGGTAGCAGAGGGAAGCCAAACAGGAACAGCGGAGGAGGATGGGACGTGATGAGTATAATCCAGAGAACGTAGACGGTGAAGGTGAGTAGATGATGAAAGGATCCTGAGTGGAACAAAAACCAGACGTGAGGGATAATCCAAATCGTAATCCAAAAGCACAATCCGAGGTCATGAATCCAATAGTCAAACACAAACGAACGAGATCAAGGTCAAGAGGCTGGGGCTACCTAAACTGGTGCAATCATCTGGCAAGGTCAAATGTCTCCATCCTCCTTTTAAGCCTGCGTTCCTGATTTGGGAATCACCTGCAGCTGTTGCTCCCTCTGCTCCGCACCTGTGGAGAATCAACTCAGACTCTGGTGTGAGGAGATGGTGTGACTCACCTCTGCCCAGGAACATGACAGAGTGTACCATCCCTTATCAAAAGAAGGCTTTGTTTGGCAACACAGGCTGACATCTTGTCCCCTGAAGTGTCACCAAGCGCTGCAGAATCCTTCTGGCTTGCTGGAAGATGGAATGTAAGATCCACTTTAGAGAATGGAATCGTGTCTGCAGATGGCCAGGGGCATGTAGGTGGAAAACGAGCCTTTCTGGACGTTACACTGTAAAACCGTTTTCTTCTCATGTTCTGCTTCTGTTTTTATGGCAGATCTAAAATCATCCACATCCTGTCTCTTCATTTGTCGGAGCATGGAGACACAGTAAGACGCCAAAGCCCGCGGGCCACGTAGCGTGACTAACTGCCATGCCTTGGTGCTCTCACCATAAATGATGCACGTTTCCTCCTGCCTGTAGGATCGTAGAGCGCTGCAGCGTGCACCTGTAGTGTCCCCTTGTCCTCCGTCTAGTGCATTATGGAAACATTTTATAAAACGCTGAACTGAAAGTTTATTAAACCTTCTCCTTTTGGAGCATCAAGCACCCTCCAACACGTGTTTGTTTTTATTTTCTGTAGCAGATAATCTGATTAGGATGAAACCTGACTGAGACCAGGAGGCAGTAATGTTGATTTAAAACTTATTCTTAAATAAAACAGGATTCAGTGCTTTATTTTATCATAATCCTGTGAGCCGCAGCCCACCAAAACCATTAGTGGTCAGTAACGAAGACATCAGCGGAGCCAACTTAAATCTGGTGCTCTGGGACTTTCTGGAGACATTTCTCAGATTAAATATGCAAACGCGTCTGTAGAAGTTTGCAAACGCGTCTTTGTTCTGTTATGAGTGGCTGAGCTCACAGTTGGAGCTTAAATGACCCAAACTAAGACCCAAAAGGCGCTCTCACTCACAGAAAATCAGAGAATGATGGATGTGAGCGCTTTTCCCTTCATGTAATCCAGGATCTTTCCACTGTGCTTGTGGGGAGACCAGCTAACGGTCACGTCAACCTCCATGAGTTTGGTTCTGGTTCTGCTCACCAAATAGTTCTGGAATGAATACAACTTGATTTCAGGTTTGGTCGTGTTTCAGCCCAGGTCCAGTAACCATGGCCTTGAGATTCTCCACCCCCACTCCTAGACCAGCACCACACACACACACACACACACACACACACACACACACACACACACACACACACACACACACACACACACACACACACACACACACACACACACACACACACACACACACACACACACACACACACACACACACACACACACACACACACACACACACACACACACACACACACACACACACACACACACACACACACACACACACACACACACACACACACAAAGATAGGCTCTGGACAGTGTCTCTGAGACATTTACAATCTATCAACTTTAATAAATAATAGCGCTAATCTTAGCAGCCCCTGCAGGTTTCAGCAGTAACCTCCCTCCATCCTGATTCCGGGGGAAGTGCAGCGAGCCATGTCTCCAGTCAAATGCACCATGAAGAGAGCATGGAACATCTATGTCAGTGGAAATGCTCATTTTATGATGCCGGTTTAAAGAACGAGGAGGAAAGGCTTCAGTTATCCAATCTCCTCCCAAAGCCTTCCAGGACCCTGATCTGATGCCAACTCCCAGCCTGATGGCTAATAAGCTGACAGGATGAAGAACTGCTCCACAGAATAAAGTGCAGGAGAAACCACAGACCTGCTGCTAAACACCAACACGCGTGTGGAGAGGTCTATGAAGTGTATGGTGCTTTCAGAGTACTGACCTTTCCCTAGAGTTGCCAGATGTCTTAGGCCAAAGTTGGCACAGCCAGGGGAGGAAACTGCTCCAAATAGGTGGACCTTCATCCTGTAGATGGATGGTTTGGTTTCCAAATCACCATTTTTCCACCATAAGAAACGCAGATAATCTCAATATTCGGTCTTTACATGAAACTGGTGAAACATTCTCTCAATATCACACATTACAGCGATTGGGTCTTTCCAGAACCTACACAGGACACCCACAAGTTTGTTAGGTCAGGTCCAGTGAGAAGATGATCGTTCAGAGATGTTTCATGAAACTCAGCTGAGTAGTCAAATACTACCCGTATCTCGCCCGGTTTTTGTGGGTGGTAGACTCCATGATGTGGAATATACCAAGCCAGACTGCTATTGATTTCCTCCTCTGGAATTTTTTCAGCCTCTCCCCGAGCAATCATGTCAGTCATGAAGTTCACATAGTCTTTATAATAGGTTTTATCCTTTCCAGACACTGTAAGCGATGAATAGTACACAACTTATTGTTTGGCAACCTTGGTCTTTCTCCTTTGAAAGGCAATGGCATTTCAAGATGTCCATCCTTCTCTTGAGTTATGTTTTCTTTAAGGTTGGACAAGAATTTCAAGTCATCTTGAGATACGCAGTCCTCGTTAATTTTCTCAGAAAAATCTGTCTCAAGAATCTTTATCATGTCTGAAGGTGTAATTTCTTTAACCTTTGATCTGTTCACATAGTGAACTTCACCCTTTAGATTGAGAGCAGAGTCAACCTTTGGTTTCACTTGACGGACAACTATACGATGACTGAGTCAAATTGCATCTCCCATACTCGACACAAGGATTGCCATGACCAACAATGCTCCATCCAAGACCTGTGCGTTGAGCAAAGGGCTCATCGTCTTGACCAGACAACTTCCCTTGGTAGAAAGGCTTGTGAGCAGTTGTAGCCGATAAGCAGTCCTGTAGGGGTGCTATGTCATATTTCAGGTGCTCTAGGTGGGACCAAGCCTCTGCAGTTTTGTCAGTTGGTATGTGAGCTCTGTTGGCAGGAATAAAATCGTGTGTGTAGGCTCCACTCAAGGAACATCCAATGTGGAATTCAATTGTTACGCTCCACTGAAACACCTCGACCTTTCTAGTATTACATATGTAATTGCATTTCCTTTGACCTTTGGATAACATGCAACAATAAAGCAAGTTTCAGTTCAATATGTACTCAACACATCACTGGTAACATCAATTTGAATCAGCAATCTTTTCATCAACCAAGTTTCTTGTCGCAATAGAGTCTTCCCCCAAAAGTCTTTATTGGCTTCTTTAATTATGTGTGAATAGGCCACTTATCTGCCAGTCCATGCACTGTTGTCCAAGAGATGAAGGTCATCTGGTCCTTGCTGCTTCACTGGCGTTTGCTGACAACAGGCGAGTTTCACTGCGATTCCCTCCAAGCAACACAGACGCAAGTGATTTCTTTTACGGGTTTATTGGACCTCTTCTGTCCTCCTTTCCATAGATCTCCCTTAAACCGTGAAACTAAATACAGGATAGTACAATTAAAACACAAACAATAATGTGCAACAAAATAAAGACAAATAAATACCTTGTTGGCTGTTTTGCTTAAAACACAAAGGGAATCCATCCGTCTTCCTTTAGGTCCTTTTACTAGCTAGTTCTTTAGCAAAAGATTGAATGTTTTCAGTCCATTAGCTGTCTGCTTGTCAGCTCTTCATCCAGGCTGTGTGTGTTCCTCACACCTGGCTTGTATTCATCAAATCAAGGGTGTGGCTGGCAGAGCAGCTCATGTAGCTTTTCAAAATAAAATTACAGCAAACACAACCAACCCAGTGTCTTACAAATGGGAAAATAAATAAATGAAGAAATCAACAGCAACAGCACCAGGTGTTCTCACGTTTTCTGGTAAACTCCTCTCACACATCAGCTTCATGCAGAGAAAAGGAAAAGGAAGTGACAGAAAAAGGATTCTGAAGGGTTCAGATAAAAATAAGAGCTTATGTCTACTAAAGAACAGCTGTTTGAGCACCCGGATGAGTGAGAATCACCGTTTTCACCGATGGTAAACCATTGAAGACCACTAAAGCTTGTTTTTCCGCAGAAAGGAGCAGGAAGTGAGAGTCAATGTAAAGGATTTAAACTCATTTATGTGATTATTTGTTTATGCTAAATGGTCTGTATTTGTATGCACCTTCTTAGGGTTCTACAGCCCCCCAAGGCGCTTCATCCATTCACTCGCTGGTGGGGAGGAGCTGTGATGTAGCCACAGCTGCCCTGTGAAGCAGGGGAACAGTAAAGATGCAAAAGCTACCGTTGTTAGAAGAAATGTGTGTTAACTTTGAAAATGTGGGCGTAATTTTAATTGTCAAAACCTCCAGCGATCCAACCCGGACCCCGGACCCCGGGACGTCACCGCTACAGATGGGTAGTCCGCCATTCTGTTGAGGAAGACATGAATACTTCTGGGTCTCAACGCCAGCACTCCCAGCTTTCTGTCTTCTGTGTGTTTTTGTGTTCATTTTTATTCTTGCTGTCTTCTTTTTAGGATTTTAGGCAGTTTTTACTGTGATCTTAGATTTTACTTCTTATGGATTTTTACCTTTCATAAAGCACGTTGATCACCTTTCAGGTCTGAAGTGCTCTAAACTTCATTCATTCATTCATTCATCGACGCAGATGGAACCTGGGTTTGAACCGGCAACCTACCATCTACAGGTAAAACTCCTGACCCATCTCCTTATTGGACGTAACGAGTCACATGACCTGCAGTGATGCATTGTGGGTCACATGGAGCCTGAATGCTTTTATTTTGATAGAATCTAACGAAGAGGAGAGGGGGTGAACTCTGAGGATGGAAACGGTGCTGAAGATCAAACTCTGTTTTTACTGCAGTAGCTGGTGACTGGTCGGTGTGAGACAGGTGAGCAGAAGCTACACCTGGAAAGAGATCTTATACAGACACATCCACGTGGTCCACCGGACTGGAGGAGGGGGCGTCTAGCTTGGAATTGGATAAATGTGCATTCATCCAGGTCTGAGTCGATCACCTCCTGTACCTGATCTTTATCGGTGTCTGCATGTGGACAGCATGGGGAAGCTCAGGTGTACTAATGCATCAGAGGAGGAAGAGGAGGTTCTGAGGCCTTCTGTGGACCAATCAGGAGTCAGCACTGAAACATGGAACCTTTGGATCAGTTCCTGCATCAGCTGCTGCTACGGAGCATAAATACTGAGGGGTGAGGGTGGAGGCACCAGTAGGAGACTGGTTTATGGGTCTGTTTGCAGAACTGATGTTCAACACGTCTCCAGAGGAACTAATGATCCAAACACGAAACCTAAACCTGAATCCAGGTAAAGCAGCTGTGCTGGATTACTTTCTCTCTCCTCCTCAGTGGAGCTCAGTTTCCATGGAAGCAGACCAGAAGAGCCACAGTGACCATGAACAGCACACTAGTGTGCAGCTCTCGGGTCAGAACCAACTCACAGCGTCGACGTGACGCACGGATGAATCACAGACGGTCAGCTGGGATTCGTTTGGTACCGATCACCTCAGAGCTTCCGTAGTTTTCACCCAGAACAGGAAGAAGTGGCTTGGACATGCGCCACGGAGCAAATAGAGAACAGGTAAAGTTTATGTGTGAGATCAGAGGAGGAGCGTGTCTGGCTGCTGCAGAAGCTAAACTACCTGTTTGAGAAGGAAGAGCAGCACCAGTCTGGACCCATCAGTGACGTCAGAGACCAGCTCCTCACCTCCCCGGGTCAGAACCTCCACCCAGAACCTCCACCGCACAAGTCTTCATGCAGACGAACCCAAGCTCCTCGTTATTCTGGTTCATTAGAAACGTTGGCCCCACAGGCGAACCCTGGCCCTCATCGGTTTCTGTCTGCATGTTGAAAGTTCAACCTTCATGTACGTCTGATTAAACACATTTCATATTCAGATGGATCCAGATTTATTAATCAGTCTCCTCATCATGTAAATGATCTCCATGCATATTAATAAAGAGCTGAATGCCGTATCTCATTACAAATAATCGTCTCCGTAAAGTTTGATCAGGAACTAAAGGATCAGAGGTCAGGAGAACCGAACTCCACCCGTTACGTTCACCTGGACATGTCTCAGCTGTCCTCCTCAGGGGACAGACAGAGGACACCGTTAGAGCACGGGAGTCTAACAGGTGCGGTGATACCTGACGTTTACAACCAAAACACGTTCCATTTCAGCTCCAGCCGGATTTCTACTGATGCATAAAACATGTCTCTGGGTCTTATTGATGCTTGTAGAAAAGCTTTTTTCTGGTTTGTTTCCCTCTCCTTTCAAACAGAAGTGTAGGGGGGTGACTTACTCTTTAATCAAAATGTTATTTAAAAAAACTAATTATTCGTGTTTTGTCCAAATAAATAAAATGAGTTTCCACCTAGCTGATGCGGCCTGTTGTTTGGGAGGAGTGCCCCCTGGTGGTGTACTAGTGCTATTGCACCAACAAAATGACTCCGTTCACTTTTCTATTAAAGGACAAAAACCACGAGTTAAAAAGTTTAGTAAAGTTTTATTTGTTTCTAGTATAAAGAGTGACTACAGTACACGGATGTGCAAAATCCCACATTAGGAGTCAAAAATGTAACAAAGCAGGAGGAAACCCAGGTAGGAATGTTGTAACCAAAACAAAAATACTCCCTTTTACCGGGAATTTGTACTAATCTGTCATAAATTCAGTCAAGATGACGAATTTGGATCAGAACAAATGGGCTAAAATCGGATTCATCCACTTCCAGTTGAATCCTGCAGTCTCCAGAACTCCTCGTCGGACTTTGGTTTCACTGGATCTTCATGCTGAGAACCGGGTCCACCAGTTTATTATGAACATGCATCAAACCTACAAGAAGTAGAACCATCAAATAAAACCATCGTCTGGACCTTCTGATCTGATGCTCATTAAATCTGGAGATTCACAACTAAATGGGTCATCTCCTGGTTCTACTGGTACCTTTGAAATACTTGACGGTTTTGACTCGGAGCTCCAGAGTGGCGTCTTCATCGCAGACGAAGATGGTGCGGGGGTGCTGCTGGAAGGCAGACACGGTCCACATGTGGTTCACGCCCTCCTCGATGGCCTTGTTCAGGGCGAAGGCTTTATGAGCTCCAGTGATGAGAATCAGCACCTGCAGGAGGAGAACCCGTCAGAGCAGAACCTCAGGAGCAACAGCAGGAACACCAACACTCAGGCTGACCTCCTTGGCGTCCATGACAGTCCCCACCCCCACAGTCAGAGCCATGGTGGGAACCTTGGAAAGGTCATTACCGAAGAACCGAGCGTTTGCCACAATGGTGTCCTTCGCCAGCGTCTTCACTCTGGTTCTGGAGACGAGGCTGGAGCCGGGCTCGTTAAACGCGATGTGGCCATCTGGTCCGATTCCTGCAGAAAACAATGTTTCAGCTAGACGGCAAAAGTGTGCCGTGAACTGGGAGGGGTCACGCCTTTGTGTGTTTGGGAGTCCAGAGAAGAACCAGATGGTTCTGGTCCCAGATCCAGCTTCGGATCAGCTGATCGGGATGAGCCTGACCTGGGCTGACACCAAACACGGGCCTGTCACCAGAACCAGCCGAGCGTGACTTCAGGGCTTCACAACATGTGGCTCTCGGGACACACGCAGCTCAACATCTGTGATCCGGCTCCAGGCCGAGCCCGTTAGCTCTGTACGGATTCTAACGTTTCTGTCGGGAACAACAGTGGTGAAGGTGGAGGTGAAAGGTCACGTTGTTCATCAGGATAACGCCTCCGTTGGGGAGGAACAACTCGCTGACCTTCTGGGTGCAGAAGAAGACAGAACAGCTTCAGGCTTCGGTCTGTACCTCCAACAAACAGCTGGATTCCTCCGGCCTCAGAGATCTTCTCCTCGTACGCCTGACACTCAGCCTCCAGGTCCTTGGCGTTCCCATCCAGGATGTGAGCGTTGGCCGGATCGATGTCAATGTGCTTGAAGAAGTTGTTCCACATGTAGGAGTGGTAGCTCTCTGGATGAGCGCGGGGCAGACCTGCAGAGGTTGGGTTTGACACAACAACAGAAGGCTGAGGATGAGGACACACGTGACCTGTGTCCTGCAGGTGTGCGAGGCTCCCACCTGCAGAAGGACTCACCTACATATTCATCCATGTTGAAGGTTTTCACATATTTGAAGGACAGATCTCCGCTCCTGTGGAACTCGATCAGCTTCTGGTAGCATCCGTAAGGAGTGCTGCCTGCGAGGACACAGGGACATGGACTCAGAGACAGCTGGACCAGAGACACCCAACCTGCGTCCGCCGGAGCTCACCTGTCGGTAAACCCAGAGTAAAGAACCTGTCTGCGGACGGGCTGAACTGGATGATCCGGTTCCGGATGTATTTAGCGGCCCACTCGCTGGCCAGCTCGTAGTCGTCCAGGATCACCAGCCTCATGGTTCCGAAAACAAGCGAACTTCACCGGAACCTGAAACTCCTCCGGTTTCTGAGCTGAACGTTAAAGACAAACAACCGGAAAACGATTAAAACCGAGCTTCCGCCGGTCTGGGGCTGCTGATAGGTCACAACAACTCACCGGAACCACCAAATGTGGACTTTCTGCTCCGAACATCTGTTTTTATCAAGCAGGAAGTCTCTGCAGTCACGTGACTAATCAGGAGGCAAGGGAGTCCGCGAGGGTCAAAAAGTCTTAGAAAGCTAAATATTTAGGGCTTATTTTCTTCTGCTAAAGACAACTAAAACTCTAACATGTTCACTAATAAAACCAGAGAAACTTTCTCCGAGTAGAAAAAACATTCAATACGTTAATTTATTCTCTTTGCAACGAACCCGTAGATGTTTTCACTGTCTAGCTAAAAAGATGCTGAGTCATCCTGAACCCTTGGGTTCGGGTCTCCAGAATCTGATGAGACAAGCTGCTGCATCAGCGATGATCGACTTCAGCTGATTAGATCATGAGGTCAGACGTCAGGTTCTTCTCACAATCCAAATAAAACCTGATGCTCTCTTCAGCTCATCATAAAAATACCCAAAGAAAGCAAAAAGCTTTCAAGCAAAACACAAAACCCTTTAAACTTTGACTCCTGCTGACAGCATCAAGTAAACTAATTTAACTAGTTAAACTCACCTTCCTGACAATTAGACTGCTGGTTCATCTCAGAGGAACAAACGGTGGATCTGACTTCAGTCCCAAAACCAAACTAAAGGTTCCTGATCAGAGAAAATTTGGAGCTAAAACCCAGTTGGTTTGGACCGGTCGTTGTCTGATCAGCCTTTTTGTGTGATTAACTGAAGATGTGAAGTCACAATAAAGATAAGGTGTCTGTTTTAACTGATACGTTAACATTGGCCTATGAGGGTTTTTCCTCCAGATGTTGGTTCGGTGCAAAAACATCTGTTTTTGTTCCCCTGGCAGAAGATTTCAGGAGTTTTGAGGCAAAACTATTTTAAGGAATTTCTCTAAAAAATAACACAAACACCGACCTCTCAGTTTAGATTTTAATTCTGTAACATCAGGAAAAATAAACAACATCAATGTTAAGATTCAGAGTCATTGTTTCGGGGCAGGGGTGGGGTTGTAACTGGGATGTCGAGGAGCTGTTACAGAGGTAGGTAGAGGAGAGGAAAACTTGTTCCACGTTCTTCTCTCTTCAGCTGAACGTTGATGGTCCCAGGATGAGACGGAGGCTGGGCCCACCAGGTGAAGAGTCCATTTTATTCTTTCTTCTTGTAGTCCTCCAGGTGGGCCAGGATCCATCCAGAAGGTCCCAGGATGGCGAGAGAGAAGAAGCCCAAAGCAACAGAAGTCTCCTGGAAAACAGACGGAGGTGCAGATGATTAACAAACTAGATCCGAGACGTCTGGGGGAGAGGATTTTATAAGCTAGACAAGCAAATGATGAAAGTAGAGTCATAATCAGTCTGGATGGTAAATCAGCATTTTTATAAACGTGGACATGAGCAACAGACACGCCAGACATCTCAGGTCCACGACGCATCTGATGAACCGATCTTTGGGCTGTATTATAGTCTTATTTCAGAATCAGAAAAGGTTTATTGCCATTGTCAGTGAACAAACAATTCACAAACTAGGAACTTGCTTCAGTACTAACGTGCTACATATAACATGAATAATATAATTAAAAAATAGAATAATGTAGAATAAAGTAGAATAAAATATAATAAACTAGCATAAAACTTTGCTATAAAAAATGGCAGGTAAAGGTAATATGGCCGATAACGTGACGTTATGTCAAGTATCGAAGACGAGCATGGTTGTGTGTTTATAAGTTGTTCACAAGTCTAACGGCAGATGGAAAGAAGCTGTTCTTATGGCGGGAGGTTCTGGTCCGGATCGACCATAACCTCCTGCCTGAGGGAAGCGGCTCAAAAAGTCTGTGACCCGGGTGCGAAGGGTCAGCTGCTATCCGACCTGCACGCCCCCGAGTTCTGGAGACGTGCAGGTCCTGGAGAGATGGAAGGCTGCAGCCAATCACCTTCTCAGCAGAGCGCACAATGCGCTGTCTTGGGGACAGCAGTAACTCAGGAGGTAGAGCAGGTTGTCCAGTGATCAGAAGGTTGCAGGTTTGATCCCAGCTCTGACCATATGATGCTGCCGCTGTGTCCTTGGGTAAGACACTTACTCCGCTTTGTCTGCTGGTGGTGGTCTGAGGGACCGGTGGCACCTGTGTTCAGCGGGCGTCGCCTCCATCACTGTGTGCATCTGACATCCTGCTACTTTACAGAAATGTTCAAAAACATGAAAACTCCTAAACTAGTTAAATTATTTAGACTCAACTATGATCCGCCAGAATTCTGTTTGTCTGGATTATCTTCAGATGTTCAGAGAAAAGGTGAAACTCGATTAATCTGGTCAAAACAAAACCTCAAAAACAACTAACAATGAAATAAATAGGTGGTGGTCTGAGGGACGTCAGTGCACCCCAGGGCAGCTGTAGCTCATCACCACTCGTGCGTGAGTGGGAGATTGGCTGATGTGTTGTAAAGTACCTTGGGGGGTTATTCTAATACTAACTGTTGAGTTGTGTGTCCGCAGGTATTCCTAATTTGTGAACTGACTAAAAGTTAATAAACGGGCGGCCCACCTGTCACTCAACGAGGGTCAGTGATGGTTAGTGGCACATGTGAGGCGTGACGACCGAGACCGACCATGGATGTTAAAGAATTCACAATCGGAGTTCATGTCGACTCGTTAACCTTTCTGACTGCCGAGACCAAGCTGCTGTGCTAACATTAACCTGATATTACCACAGTAAACAGAGCAGGTTGAACATTTACTCCCACATCCAAACAGCATTTACCACTAAAACTGATATTTAAATTATATGTAATATTTAGCTCGATGAGTGGAAGCAACACTTTTCTGTAGCAACTATTTTACATTTATTTAATATAAGTTTTAATTTATTATATTACTCCAGGAGATGATCCAACTTTGGCTGTGTTTTATTCCAGATCGATTCGTCTTTCAGACCAAAACAGACCCGATCACCTGGAAAAACTCTGATTTATTTAGATATTAGGTTTTCATTTTTACGTTATTGGGAGATTTTTACCAGACTGACAGCAGCGTGAAAACATCGCGACATTTTACCTTCAATCCCATTTGGGTGATTAAAATAAACACCGGCAGACACGAAGAGGGTGATGGTTTATATGAGCCTTAATAGGATCTCAGAATATTTTAAATCAGGAGTCGAAAATGAGTTTTAGAAAGTTCTGAAGCTAAACTGTTTCCGAACTTCAGCCTAACTCGACTTAAACACTCACTTCACTTGAATGCTTATATTCTAATTTGAAGTTTGCATATTTAAACTTTGAGTGAAATAAATTATTGAATTGAAACAGGAAGCAAAGTTTTAATATCTCAATTAATTTGAATATTATCTTTTAAAACAAACAATTCGCGAAACAGCAAACTAACACATGAATTAATTATTGTTGGTTTTTGTTGTTAATTTTCCTGCTGAAGGAACATTTGTGACCTCGACAGTCAAGGACAGATGCTAACTGTTAGCATCACGTTAGCTTCAGTTAGGTACTCACGACTGGTCCGATCTTCTCCTTCGCCGGTTTGGTGTACAGGTTCGCCGACTGAGTCATGGTGTTTCCCCGGAGGAAAGGACCGGCGCGGCGGGCGATGGTCCTCAGCAACATCGGCATTTTGTCAGTTTTATCTGCTACGATGCCAGAAGATGTGTGGAGGTGAAGCTAGCGGTTCAGCGCTGGGCGGAGATGACCGGTTTACTGCAGTGTCAGCGGGCGGCAGCTCGACCAGCGCCACCTGCCGGTCTGGAGGAGTTCTGCTACCAGAATCAGGTTTCAGCTCTTGGGGGAAAAAAACTTTCATTACTGAAGATAAATTTTATTTTCTAAAAGTCAGCTGAGATCATGTGTTGTAAATGAGTGTTAGCTGTCCACATAGCAGGACATTAGCAGCAGGACGTGTTTATTTATTCTAGGGTTTTTGTGTCCTGACCAAAGCTGTTTGTGGTCTGAGGACTGCAGTGGACTGATTCTACGCTACGATAGAAGTCTTTGGTCCCAGAGGGTTTAAACCCGTCTGCTAATCCAGTTGAGACTCCTGTGGAGTCTCCATTATGAAGCTGATCAAACTTTAACTCTGTTGTAACGTGGATCATGTTAGAAACCAGCTTTTAATCCTCGTGAGCTGTAATCCTGTCTTGTGTACAAACTGCCAGCTGAGAGCGGAGCAGGAATGTAATAATCCAGCAGCTTTTCATTTCACAACCCTGCCTCTCTGCTCTTTTACTCTGATTTTAAAAGATTTGTCCATTTTTACTGCCGCTGTTGTTCGCTTCATGGGGATGGGTTCAACGTTTAACGTTTCTGATGATGTTGCTTCTTATGGAGGGAGAAGTGCGTTCACCCAGCTGGAGCACAACGTCGTGGCTGGATATCTGATAACAGCAGGTAACCGGTGGAACAGATCCACTTCTTTGGTTTTGCTGATGTTGATAAAATCACCAGACGGCTCAGAAACAGCAGAGAAAACGCATTTAGGATTGTTTATCCTGCAAGACGTTTGTTTTGTTTTAGTTAAGATTAAAGGTTTAAGATGAGTTTAAACACTCAAAGTTTCATTTCTAACCGGTGGATTTGGTCTAAAACCCGTTTCTAGTTCAGACTGAGATGCTCAGAGGATCCAGTCTGAGAAACGGATGGATTCCACGGTTTTTCCTACACGGATATCGGGAAAGGTTCCAGTTTAAAGGACCCAGCAGGTCTAAGATGGACCGGTGTGACCTCTGACCCCTAGAACCACCTGAACCAGGATCACTTTAGGAAACTCAGGTTCTACAGACTACTAATCAGACCAGAACCAAGAGGTGGTGCCCACTCCTCTGGGCTCCATCTGAGATGGAGCAGAACCAGGTGACTGAGTCAGTACTGGAAACTGCAACTTCTGCCTCCAGGTCCACGGCTGCGATGGGTTAGGGTGAAGATTTCCTTCACTACTTTGTGGACAAGGTAGCGATGATTCGGGCTGCTATTGTAGGCCGCACTCCTGTTTTCGTGGCACCTATGCCACTGAGGGCAAACCTGCCAGCCTTCCAGAATATATCCATGACAGCGCTAGAGGAACTCCTTTATAAGCAAAAACCTTCTGGTTCCCCTCATGATGCTCCTCCCCCAAAGATGCTTAAGGAGGTGTTTTCTGTTCTGGCCCCTTATATACTGGTTATCTTAAACACCCGTCTGGCCTCTTGTGTGGTTCCCCTTACTTTTAAGAGGGCTGTTGTACGACGGCTGCTGAAAAAGAAGGGGATGGAGGAGGCTGTGTTAGCCAATTACAGACCTGTCTCACATCTACCTTACTTATCTAATGGGTCATTCCCATCTGTACCGGGTCGGCCCGGGCCGGGTAGCGTAGGTTGTTTACATATCTGGGTGGCCTGGTATTTTTCCGGGCCAACCAAGGCTCGTTCTCAGCCCTCTTCTGGAGGGGGTCTGCTTCAGGCCGACCAGGGCCAACACACCCACTGCTGACAGCAAATTCACACCTTCCATTAGAGCAAGCCTCTGATTGGTGGGTAGAATCAGCCCACATGGGCTTAAGGCAAGGATGTGTGGAATCAACCGGGCCAGGCTGGGGCCGACTGGGGCTACCCGGCCCGGGCCGACCCGGTACAGATGGCAATGGCCCATAAGCTGCTTGAGAGGGTTGTATATTTACAGCTGGTTGCATTTTTAGACACTCACGAACTCTGGGAGAGCTTTCAGTCAGGGTTCAGAGCAGGTCACGGTACCGAGACTGCACTTTTAATGGTTCTTAATGATGCTTTTTTAGCTTGTGACGGGGGGGGGGGGATGCTAGATTTGTCTGCGGCCTGTGACACGGTCGATCATGACATACTTTTGGATCGGCTACAACACTGGGCGGGAATTACCGGTGCAGCCCTACAATGGCTACGCTCCTACTTATCCGACAGGAGTTTTTGTGTCAGTGTAGGTGAAACCTCCTCGACCTGGGTGGGACTCAAGTGGGGTGTGCCACAGGGGTCTGTACTGGGTCCGCTTCTTTTTGCCATCTACCTAATACCGTTGGGGAATCTTCTTCGGCGGTTCGGCATGCGTTTTCATTTTTATGCTGACGACTGTCAGATCTACCTCCCCCTTCAGCGGGGGGCTGATGGGTCAATATCAAAGCTTGTAGATGCCTTAGAGGATGTGCGCTCCTGGATGGCTACAAACTTTTTACATCTGAATGACGCTAAAACTGAAGTAACTGTACTTAGCTCTGGCATGTCTACACGCCCATGCGGTGCTGTGAATCTGGGCCCTTTAGCATCTAACATGAAGACCACCATCCGAAATTTGGGAGTGCAACTGGACTCAGCCTTAAATTCAACGTGCAAATAAACCAGGTTGTGCAATCGTGTTTTTTTACTTACGCCGACTAGCCAGAGTTAAGCCCCTGCTGTCCAGAGTACATCTAGAGACTGCCACACACGCTTTTGTTCTTTCAAGGCTCGACTACTGCAATGCCCTGTATGCCGGCCTTGGTCAGGGTGCGGTAGCACGCTTGCAGTTAGTTCAAAACTCAGCCGCTAGGTTCGTGACAGGCACTAGGCGCAGGGAACATATCACCCCTGTGTTGGCATCCCTTCATTGGCTGCCTGTGCAATACCGGGCAAAATTCAAGGTCTTGGTGCTTGCATACAGGGCCTTACAAGGATCGGCTCCAGCATACCTTGGCAACCTTTTGCATAGACACGCCCCTTCGCGGGCCCTTCGCTCAGCCGGCAGGGAGACGTTGATCGTTCCACGCACCAAGTGCAGGTCACGGGGGGACTGTCCGTTCTCGGTGTTGGCACCTGGCTGCACTTTGGAACCAGTTGCCTTTGGTGGTGCATCAGTCACCCTCATTGGGGGTTTTTAAGACTCGCCTTAAGACCCATTTTTTTGTCAAGGCATTCCAGGATTAGCAAATTTTACTCGGTTTCGATGACCCGGCCTCTTAATCTTTTTCAGGATTTTATTTTTCGCTTTTACTCTCCTCTTTTAATTGATTTTATGTTGGTTTTACGATTGTTATATTTTATTCTGATGGTTTTGTGTTTTTATTGTGTTGTGTTCAGCACCTTGGGCGGCTGCTTGGTGGCAGAAGGGGCTTTATGAATAAATGAAATTAAAAGAAAATGAACCAGAATCACGGAACGTGGATCAGATGAACCCATATTCCAAACCGCTGTTGGAAGGAATGGACCCTGTTTGCTCCAGAACCAAAAAGGAAAACGATAATCTAGACTGTGTCAGCACCAGGTCCAAAACCCCGGATCATAGTTCTGGTGCCTTCAGGACCACATCTGGTCCAGGGAGGCCCACAAACCACATTCTGCTCCTGCTGCAGAGAGGACGGGTTAGGGTGCAGTTCTGACCCGGTCCTGAAGGAGGAGAACCAGAAAGGTGATGAAGGTGACCCGGTTCTGTTGGACACATGCAGACATGTTTGTAGAAAGGAAACCAGACCAGAACCAGAACCTGGTTCCTTGGTGAACTTGTGTTTAGGATGTGGAACTGGATCGTTAGAAAGTGGGAACATTTTTCCCAAATAAAGATAAAAAGCGTGTTGAGTTTTTTTGTTCTGGAGCAAAGAAATAAAAACATTTTCATGTGTTTAAATCTCAAACTAAAGTCTTTCTGGTTTCCTGATTTCCACACGATGTGGAACATCTGGAAAAAAACCTTTCCTGTAAATCATTAAATATTAAACATTTTAGGGTTTATATATAAGAAGAGTGACTGCGTGCATTCAGACGAATCATTTATTTATTATGTGACTTATCCAGTAATTAGACTGGGCCCAGTGGTGGGAGCTTATGGCGCCCTCTGGCGGCCAAACATGGGACAACTCAGTTTGACCCGTGAGACTAAAATCAGAGCAAACAGGGAAAGAGCAGCGCTTTGTTCCTGTTGGAAACACGGATGGATCCTAAATGGTTACTTTTCTAATCAAGCGTCTGAAACAACAACTGCAGAAGATAAAAACAGCTGATGTTTGATCTCTGAGCTCCTTCTCCTCTCAGGGGTCATCAGCCTCGCCAGTAACATCGTGGTGCTGATGATGTTTGTGAAGTTCAGAGAGCTTCGCACAGCCACCAACTTCATCATCATCAACCTGGCCTTCACCGACATCGGAGTGGCCGGCATCGGTTATCCCATGTCGGCTGCATCAGACATCCACGGAAGCTGGAAGTTCGGCTACAACGGCTGTCAGGTGGGGAGGCAGAAACGTGTCATGGGCAGCGTCCCGGTGTGACTTGTCTTCAGCAGAAAAACACTCATGTCTACAGAGAGAGCTGTAACACGGTGGTGTCCAAACCTGACCCTCCAGGGACACCATCCTGCTAAAACACCTGGTTTTAATCAACCAGGCTGCTGCTGAACAGGTGATCCAGGTGTGTTAGAGCATAATGGTGATCTTGGAGGACCAGGATTGGGATCAAACAGCAGTTTTCCAGATAAACATAACTACCTGTTTCTATGGCAGGCTGCTGGAATCACAGATCCAGTTTAAACTGGTTCTGCTAGATGTGTCTGTGTGACACAAGGCTCATCCCTTGAGTTAGGAGGGTTTTATAGTGCCTGAATGATTTAGTGGTGAGAAATCCTCCAGACCTTCAGAGAGTTTCAAGGATTGTTGATCTGGACCACAGCGGTTTCCTGCAGACTCCTCGGGATTCAGGAATTCTGGGAGATCAGAAGAGCTGCTCATGATGACGATGCCTGAAAGGAATTCTGAAACTTCCTAACCCTTGGGAAGAAACCGTTATAATGAAGGTTATTGTAAGCTGCTGTGAGTGGGAGCCTACGGAGTCTGTTAACGCCAGCGGGGCTCGTGTTGGGATTCTTTGTGCAGATTACACTACACACACACACACACACACACACACACACACACACACACACACACACACACACACACACACACACACACACACACACACTGAATCAGAAGTGGAGACAGTTATTCTATCCGTGTTTTAACATCAAAATAATGAAGTTCAGTCTATCTTTATTTAAACTTGACTAAACTAAATAATTTCACCAGAATTATTTGACTTTTTCTGAGCCATGGACTAAAATGCTGAGGAATGACACAAATCAGCTGTTTTCCCGCCTGTTTCTGCAGATTTACGCAGCTCTGAACATCTTCTTTGGCATGGCGAGCATCGGCCTGCTGACGGTGGTGGCCCTCGACCGCTACCTGACCATCTGCAGACCTGATATTGGTGACTCACGTTTCACCTGAACCACACACCTGATCAGGGTCGTGCTGTTTAATCAGCTGCAAGTCGGCCATTTTGGAAAGGGACTCATCGAGCAGTTGCAGCAGAGAGCTGCTGGTCAAACAGCAATTTAAAAATAAATCTTTGTTTTCTTAGTCTCTTATGATTAGAGGCTTATAAACGATAACGTTCCATCTAAAAATGGGTTTTACTGCCGGGCTGTTTGATACGTTCGTGCTGCTCAGTGCTCACACAACAGATGCATCACTGAGAACAGATTTGGGTTTTATTCTCTATAATAATTAAGTATTAGTGTAATTACTGTTGGATGAATTCACTTTCATCATTTTCCTTCAGTTGTTAAGTTTTATTTTTAGTAATATAATATAAATCATAATAATTTAGAATGTATGATCCTGCAGCGATAGGCTCCGCCCACTCCACCTTCGTGAAGCGAATGATTTAAAATCAGCAGAAAAGTTCTGATTCTGATTAAATGTGTCTGGTTTGCTTCTGCAGGGCAGAAAATGACGAGTAGATCCTACAGCGCTCTGATTGTGGCTGCGTGGCTCAACGCCGTCTTCTGGTCCTCCATGCCCATCGTGGGCTGGGCCAGTTACGCCCCTGACCCGACTGGCGCCACATGTACCATCAACTGGAGGCAGAACGACGCGTGAGTCTCCAGATGTTGATGATGAGACGCTCAGTGGTTCTGGTCCGCTCAGGTCTGAAACAGGTTCTCCTCTACAGGTCCTTCGTGTCCTACACCATGGCGGTGATCGCTGTGAACTTCCTGGTTCCTCTGTCCATCATGTTCTACTGCTACTACAACGTGTCGGTCACCGTCAGGAGATACAAGGCCAGTAACTGTCTGGACAGCATCAATGTGGACTGGTCCGACCAGATGGACGTCACCAAGGTGAGACCAGAACCAGAACCGCCTCAGGTGGTTTCCTGTAGATCAGCTAAACGTCCTCATGACTCATCACGTAACAAAAAACACAGGAAGGACTTTAAATCAGGTGCGTCCAACAGAAGGCCCGGGGGCCGAATGTGGACACGAGGTTCGGTCATCAGCCAGGACCAGGATTTATTTAGAACATGAGTTTGACGTCCTGCTTTGAACCAGACCTGAGTGGAAACATCTACAGATCTTCTTCATGTCTCCACCAGATGTCCATCGTTATGATCGTCATGTTCCTGGTAGCCTGGTCTCCATACTCTCTGGTGTGTCTCTGGGCGTCGTTTGGGGACCCGAAGACAATCCCCGCCTCCATGGCCATCATCGCTCCCCTCTTCGCCAAGTCCTCCACCTTCTACAACCCCTGCATCTACGTGATCGCCAACAAAAAGTGAGTGTTTCCCGATGTGGGCGGGACATGTGGTGCTGACCAGGAGGTTCAGGGCTACTGACGTTGATGCGTTCCTGCAGGTTCAGGCGAGCAATCATCGGGATGATCCGGTGTCAGACCAGGCAGCGGGTCAACATCAGCACCCAGGTTGCCATGACGACCTCCCAGCAGCCTCTGACCCAGTGAGGAGGAGATGGATTCGTGTTTGTAACATCCCGGCATTCCGAGCTGGGCTGAATGTTTCCTGATGATTTCTGCAGCATTAAAAGTATTTTGGACAGTTTCTGCCTCGGCTCTTTGATTTACGGAGACGTTTCAGATGCTCAGCTGCTTTCAGAGGACTCAGCGTCAGCAGCTGAACATCTGGTTGTCTTCCTCATGTTGCTTTAAATATTTTATCGTCAGAAAAGGAATCCCAGATCCCAGCGTCGGTGTTCCTGAGATTCCCATTTCTGGGATGATTTATTTTATAATTAAATAAACGCATCAGAAAAACAGGGAAAGGCACAAATCCAGTTAGGAATATGTTCCTTCACCGAAAACCGACCATCCAAAGGAAGACAATAAAAGCTACTGCTGATGTGTTTTCCTGCTCTTCCTGGTGATTTTTACTGATTCGCTTTTATCCCAAACTAAATAAAAATGGTTCAGTCTGGAATGTTTCTGCAGGAAGTGCTGGATCTGTTCCTTTTAAATGTTCCTGCTTGGTCCCACGTTGCTCTCAAGCCAGGTTCTGATCTCGTTCTCGTTGCTCTTCAGCCACTCGATGTTGTTCCTCACCCTCTCCAGCGCCTGCCTCCTGGGCATCTCTCCGGCTCCGGCGTCTGAATTCAGGTTGAAGAAGTTTGTCATCTGGAGAAGCGAAGCAGAGGAACGTGTCAAGAACATTCAGAACCTGAACCAGAACTCCAGCTGCGTCCATCTCCTGTTTGTTTCAGGCTGGCTCTGAGGGAAGTCGGAGCGCCGTGAACTGGTGAAAACACCGAAGACAAGGTCTGACCTTCCACAGCTGGGACTCCGTGTTGTAGGAGGAAGTGATGTCAGAGAGCAGCCGACCCAGGTTCCTGTCGTTGATGGTGAATCTGTCAAAATAAAACAACCATCAACAAAATAAAAGCATCTTGATGACGAGACGAGGTGCCACTCTGATGTGAACCAAGTTTCCGTGGGAGGACTAAAATATGATGGTTTTAAAGAATGAACAGAACATCTAAAACTACTTAACCCAAACATGTCTAATTTAATCATAATCCCCTTTAATCTCTGGTGGATTATTTATCAATAATTAACAACTCAATCTGGATTCAGTGGTTCGTTTTCGATCTGGACTTTGAAACATTGAGATGTTCCAACATGTTTCCTCTCAGCAAGCTCAACTCTGATTGGCCGATCCTATCAGCAACGACTTCCTGGTTTTGAATCATAAAAAAGTGTTTCATCATAAATCTTTGAGCCGAAAAGTTATCAGAAACATTTGATTCACATGCATCAGGTGAATTTGCACCGTGACCGTTTTATGAGGTCATCACGTGCCAGGAGGCGGGGCTTGACTCCTGGGTACCAATAATAATGAGGCAGATAAGCTTCCAGGTGTGTTTCATGTTATCTGATATATGACCAGCATTTGCTCCAGCAGGACCTACCTGTTGACCAGGTAGTCCCAGTTTAAGGTGGCCCAGTCCCAGGCCATGCTCTGACCCAGCGGGTTGTACGACACGTATCTGACCACGGTGAACACATCCTGCGTCCTCACCACAGCCTCATCTTTAGTCGCCTCCAGGAGCCTGACGGACAGATTTATTTCATACGGGTTAAAGATGGAAAAATTCATTTTCTCCTGAAAAACTCGACTTTTCTTCACTTTCAGTCTCAACAACGGGACTTTAAAACTACATAATTGTGACACAATTACTGTGATTTGAAACAATTACTATATTTAAATCCGATTGTCAGAATTCATTCAGTCATTAGTCTGATTAGATCATAAATATGATCTGAGCATCATAATAATAACATAACCATTTTGTTTATACTGAATAATTATGACTCTGAAACCCATTGACCATGTGACCTTTTGGTTCTGCATGGGACCTTTTGGTTCTGCACGTGACCTTTTGGTTCTGCACGTGACCTTTTGGGCTTGCATGTGACCTTTTGGTCCTGCATGTGACCTTTTGGTTCTGTATGTGACCTTTTCTTTCTGTATGTGACCTTTTGGTCCTGCATGTGACCTTTTGGTTCTGAATGGGACCTTTTGGTCCTGCATGTGACCTTTTGGTTCTGCATGGGACCTTTTGGTTCTGCATGTGCATGTGCCAGGCTTCCAGGTGTGGAGCCTGGCAGAAGGCTCAGATTCATTCGGACCAGAACCTCTCGCCACTAAAACAGTTTCTTCCCCTCTGCAGTTGGACTTTTGAGTGAACATCCTAGGGCAGCCCACTCAAGTTGACTGGTCCCAGTCACGTGACCCGATGCTGTGCTTGAACCATTCAGCA